AACAAGCTGCCCCACCAAGTGACAGCTTCAATGGAAATGGAAATGGAAATGGAAAAAGCTCCATTCCAATTCAGATCTTAAGTTAGAAACATCATTGATTATCATCATCAGATGTTCTACAGACTACATGCCACAATCTACATAATCTCGCTATCGTTTTCCTCCCATTTTCCTTTATGATACAAGGATACAGAGTGGATATCTAAATATTAACCTTGGGATTCTTAAATATTTCTAAGGCATCGCCTTTGTCGCCTTTGCACAATCACCCCTCCATCCTTTCTTGCCTGGAGATTAACGTCGACGCAACCGGGCGAACAGACATCGTGCCTCTTAAGTTTATCTCAACATCATCCTAGCATATTCACCGTGACTACGCGCAACATACTCCAGTTGGTCCTTTAGCTACTAGATAGCTAAACATATCGATACATCGTCTCGCGCATCGCGTACCATAACTTTCGCCATGGCCGACCTAGCTAGTCGCATTAGCCAGCCTGCTCCAGCTCAAGGGCAAGCTCAACAGAATGACGAGCCTAGGCTCCAGGAAAACAGTTACGATGTCGAAGTCCAGCTCAGCGACCTTCAGAAGGATACGGAAAATCCTCTAGGATCTGCTCACACATTCGAGGAGCTTGGTTTGTGAGTATTGTGTTGAAGTAGAAGTGGAAAATAATAGGTGCTAACCTACTTCATTTATTTTCTAGGCCGGCGGAAGTTCTTAAAGGTCTCTCGGCGATGCGCTTCCAGAAACCATCCAAGGTCCAAGAGAAAGCGCTGCCACTAATGCTTGCCGATCCTCCTCAAAATATGATCGCTCAGTCTCAATCTGGAACCGGCAAGACGGCGGCCTTTGTCACCACGGTCCTATCACGTGTCGATCACACCAAGTCATCTCAGCCTCAAGCTCTGCTCCTTGCCCCCAGCCGCGAGCTGGCTCGCCAGATTCAGATGGTTATTGGCCATATCGGACAATTCTTACCCAACCTGGCTATAGCAGCCGCTATTCCCAGCGCTATACCTCGCGACGGACGTGTCGATAAGAGCATTGTTGTCGGTACACCAGGAACCGTCCTGGATCTAATTCGAAGACGTCAGTTTGATGTGTCCCAATTACGACTCCTTGTCATTGACGAGGCCGACAATATGTTGGACCAGCAAGGTTTAGGCGACCAATGTACCCGAGTCAAGAAGTATGGCCTCTATTATTTAGAAACTTCAGTTCACTAATATAACGCTAACAATCTTTTGCAGTATGCTCCCTAAGAGCATCCAAATTCTCCTTTTTTCTGCTACCTTCCCCGACAAAGTTATGAAGTACGCCATGGCCTTCGCGCCTAACGCAAACATGATAAAGTTGAAGGTGCAGGAACTCACAGTGAAGGGCATCTCGCAGATGTATATGGACTGTCCTTCGGAATCGGATAAGTACGACATCCTCTGCAAGCTGTACGGTTTGATGAACATCGGCTCCTCTATTATTTTTGTCAAGGTATGTATCCAGCAACTTAGTAGCTAGTATGCGTGCCGTCTGCTAACAAAATTAGACGCGAGATAGCGCCACCCAAATCCAGCAAAAAATGGCAAGCGACGGTCACAAGGTATCAGTCCTGCATGGTGCCTACGAAGGGAGCGAACGAGATGCGCTGTTGGAAGAGTTCCGAACTGGAAAGTCCAAGGTCCTCATCACCACTAACGTCCTTGCTCGTGGAATAGACGTTTCCACGGTTTCTATGGTCATCAATTACGATATCCCGATGAAGGGAGTAGGAGATAGCATGCACGACACGGAGACCTACCTCCACCGTATTGGTCGAACCGGTCGTTTTGGCCGTGTCGGTGTCAGTATTACTTTCATCTCGGATAAGAAGAGCTTTGATGCTCTCAATGCTATCGCGCAAGATCTCGAGATTGACTTGGTCGCGTTGAAGCCTGACGACTGGGATGAGACAGAGGAACAAGTCCAGAGAGTCATCAAGTCGAGTCGGGCTCAAGCAGATTTTGTTCCAAGCGGAGGAGCTGCGTGAGAGGGGCTAGGATTGATCGAAATCGGCCTACCAAGTATTAGGCGAACCAGTTTTGCGTGTTGAGTCATGTATGCGACTATTTCGATATCAAAACTACGAGGAGCGAACTACGTAGGCATTCCACCAAGCCGTTGGTGCGCTGACACCGCTTTTCTTTTCTCTTGAGGCGCTCAATAAATAATAATCCTACGCAAGAGGATTGTAGTTAATGAGAGACGACTAGATACCTATTCACAGAAAAAAGTCATTTGATTTTCCACGACAGAATTCTGCTGGAAAAATCCTTTTTACCATGTAACCTTCCTATTCGTTCGGCTTCGCCTTGATCGGCGTGCTGTTTCGAAACACGTCTATGGGAGAACCATAGTATCAACGAAACAAAGAAGGATGCAGTCTCCATCTAAATACTGTCAAGCTTCTCTCCACGCGACGCACGTGGCTAAAAAGCGAGAACGAGCACAGGAACGGGTTTCTAAATAGATTGACTCGGAGCCGCCAAGAAAAAAGAAACTTGTTGATATCCTAGTCATGACCACGAGGACTTTGCCTAATCAGCCATGTTTATATTATTAGTATCTTGAAATTTGGAAGGTTTCTAGAATACCTATCTAGGTAGGTACCTAGGTAAGCAAAGAGCTGAGTAGTAAACTACTACAAGGTATCGACAATAAATAGAGCATTTGAAATTTGCTTAAGATTAATTGTAAGCTGCCTAAGCATCTAAAGCAGCTATTTACTCATATGATATTCATTAATAGTCGATGCCGAACATATTCAAAAGGCCGGGGAAGCCGATTCCGTACGGCTTGCGACGGAATTCTATTTTTCCATTTCTCCATTGCTGACGTTTTTCTCAATGATGAGTTGTGGCACGAGTTGTCATGTTGTAAATCGCATACTCGATAAAGCAGGAGACGACAATACCTAGTAGTATTCCTGAAACCAGCTAGGATATCCTTTTAGTCGCACGTTGAAGAGCTTTAATTGTTTTAAGGTTGGACGGCAGAGGCACAGCGAGGCCTGATTGGACGATCGTCATTGGAACCCCTGGTAGGAATCGAGGTACATAAGTACCTGCTTCTTAGAGGCACGAACTGCTTAGATGGTGACGTTGCACGCAGATTGCTACCTAATTCCTATATCCGAAGAGATGCGGATGGATGCATATATGTGCATATTGAGGCGTATATTCATCAATGATATGGCGGCGGCTATGGGCTTGCTTAGCCTTGGTGATGTGTAGGTGCATACATATCTCACTACTTGAATAGCGCATACATTATATTGGCTAGTAAGCGCTACCGTTCCAGGCTCTGGCGATTTGCGGCGACGTTTAAAGTTAGACGCGCGCAAGCCAAGGTGTCACTTCCATATGTATACCCCCCTACTATATGCATTACACTGCCTAGTCTGCCCCTCCCCGGTCAGAAGGGCGTCAAAAAAGGTGGCGCTTCCTACCAAAATATACCAAAAACACTCTAACTTCTAACGGCTATAATTCAGCCAATTTAAGACTAGATTAATTATGATATATACTATTCGATAGCCTTGATAATGGCCTCTTTTACTATATTTTTTATTTAGTCTAAGATTGGGAAATAAGCCCTTAAATAGATGTGGTTTTATATTAATATTTAATACTTTTACAATAATAATATAACTTATAATTACGTACCAACTTGAATTAATATAAATAATAAAAAAATCATCCGATTATAATTTAATAGTTTAATTTTATTATAATAATTTTTTTTTATTTTTAAAGGTAGGTTTGGGTATAGAATAACTTTTTGAAATATAATACTTTTGTATGCGTTGGTAGTGGGTGCGCCACCTTTTTTGACGCCTTTCTGCCGGTACACCTTCCCTTCTCCAGAGTTTATTTTGCGGAAGAGATCTATATTTAACTTATGAGTAATCACCCCTGTCGTTCCGCTATCGAGATCAGTCTTTACCGGGCGTGTCTTAATATTCTGAGCTCTTACACCTCTTACACATACAGCATGCAGATCACCAATTAAGAAACAATTGTCCAATCACAATTATTTCTGTCGATCCTTTCTTGATAGAACTGATCCTACTCGCATGTATTGAACCCAATTGAACCTACATTGATTTATTCATACACTCCTACTTCTACGTATAGTACCAGCTTCAACACGACAATAGATATGTCTTTTCTAGCTACCCTTACCTACCTCGCATGGGGTTGCTATCTGTAAGCAAGCAATGCCATGGCCGGCCGCATCTACGGTACACACCTGTGGCACTACCCTCATGCCAGCATGCCAGTTTAGATATTGCTCGGATGCTAAAATATTGAATGCTACCACCCGTCAAATCATCAATATTTCCTATTGGCGTCCGGTCTCTATCGCTCATATTGTGGCTTAAGCACCCGCAGCATCATCACCAACATGAACAGTGTCATTCTTAAAATCGTATGTCGTATACGTACATAGAGAGGCCCAAGGCCCAAGGTCGTTTCATTCATCTGACCCCATTCTCGCCCCCTTCAGTGCTGAGTCTTTTATCACCTTCTGTAACAAGCTCCTCCTCTCTTTTTCTGGCTCCACCATCCTTCGAACCCTTTCTCCATTTCATACCATTTCCATATATTATATTATTTCCTTGCTAGGGTTCTTCAAATTCCATCTATCCTGGGCTGTGCAGAACCAACGTGCTGGGATGCTGACTTCCCCATCCTTAAGTCACTCCCCCTCTCATAGGTTAGTTTAATCAGTCTCTTAAAACCATATATCCCAGCTCGTAGCCACGAGGACCGGCCTCTCGAGACCTCTTCTCACCTTTTGCTCTTCATCGAACATAATCGGGGAGGCCTGTAGATCTCCAGAGTAGTCTCTGACGATCAAAGGATGCAATGTACCTCACCCACAAAACAACACCAGAACGGAGGCCGGTTATATGACAATATCGTATACTGACAGCCCCCCTAAGATAATTACGAGTAGAATGGCTTTCGAGTCTTTGGCTCGTTGCCTCTTAATATGGATTACCCTTTCAGCCAGCGTCACCGCTGGTGCGAAGCTCGGTGGTGATATCGCGGCCTTGGTACCAACATGTGCTCAGCCCTGTCTGGAGTCGTTCGTAGTGGCCAACTACCCATCGACAGACTGCACACAGAATCCGACGTTACAATGCATGTGCTCGGAGCAATCACATTCGGGATACACGATCGGGGAGGGAGCACTACAATGTATTAGTACCGAAGCACAACGTGGAATATGTGATAAAAAGGACATTACCAGTAAGTACACCAAGTTTCTTCTAGGTTATATGATATCTACAGATCTACAGACATTAACATCGATGATAGGTTCTGTTAAGCGCGATGCCTATCTTATGTGCTCTAATGTGCCAAATGCGCTACCAAACACGCATGCTGTCCTAACGGCCACAATCGCAAACTCCCCAACTGGAGTGCCAGCGTCGATAGTCGTTCCCTCACCAACTCAAACCGGATCGACGGTCGAGGCTGCTTCCTCATCATCCGACTCATCAAACTCTCTCACGGGCGGTCAAATTGCTGGAATCGTTATTGGCGTCATCATCGCCATCATAATCATAATAGCTGCTATCTTCTTTGCTAGACGTATGCGCAGACGGAATTATCAAGGGCTTAAGAGTAGATCTCCCGATATGGCGGAGAGAGGCGGAGTTGAGACACCCGAGTCGGGGAACTTCATGTCGGCGCCGTCCCGTAGTTTCACGGATCTTGAAACGCCACCACAGCTGCCACAACATCGCACAGCATCGCCGCTGTTCCCTGCTTCTCCTATGCCGCCTCGTACTCCACCCAGACTTCCCTCGCCTAGCCCTTTCCTTTCACCAGCCCCCAGTCAGGAGTCCTTTGGGCTCGGCATCTCACGCTCTTTAAGCTCAACCCCAGCTTCAATGTCGTCCCAGATTCCAGTTAATAGACCAACATCAAAACTCCTCCCCGCCAAACCCACTATGGAATTTACAGCTCCTCCTCCTCGACCTCCTCCGCCACCAAAAGACCTATTCAAGTCGGACGCAGTATTATCTCGCGAGTCATCTGCGCGTACACAACAGACCAACAAGACTAGTCTCCTAACAAATATGACAGGAGTAACACCTGCGTATATCACTGATAAATTTGGAAACTGGGTACGGAACAACAAACACCGCCAATCTGATCAGAAGCAGGTCTCGGCGGTTGCAGAACTCGACACATATACCCCTCTGACCATGGCGCCAATAGAGAAGAGAGAAGAGGAGACCGAGACGATCTCGGCAGCAGTCTCGGCTGCTTACGGAATTCCTAACAAGCCACCGTCAGCCTTCTTATCTAAAAAGCGTTCTACTAAAAGGCATCAACGCTCTTCCAGCGTATATTCACAAGATAGTTTAGCCCGCCGCACTCGTTTAATGTCTTATGGTGGACATGGGATCCAGCGCGGCCGATCTGATACGTCTTTATCCGACGACTCTTTTACAACAATCAACTCCTATTCGACGAGTTCGGTAAATGAAGATATTGACAGGCTTGATGGGACTCATTTGTCGCACCCCCCAACACCGAGAGATCTAACACGTACCCCTACCCCCGAGCTTGCCCAAGCCAAATACGTCGATGTCTCAGGACGCCTCAACCGAGCTTTACTTCAAATCGACCCCACGAATAGGGCCTCATTTTCAAACTCGCCTCCTGGCCAGCCCAGCCCGACATTGAAGGGCGACGCTATCCTTTTGAAAGATGGCAACTCACCTTATCCTAAACCTTTAAAGCCTAAACGTCAAGACAGTGCTCAGACGTCAAAAACAAGCCTAATTAGCGAGACGGAATTGGTACGGCCTCCTCGGCTCGACGACACGCGTCCGTCAATCCAGAGTCCGCTATCACGTTTCTCACCGCGGTTACCCAATGACGAGGCTTGGTTCCCGGACAGGCTTCAAACACCTCCGGGGCAAATCTCTGGGACCGAAGCTTCACCTAGTCCTTTGGTAATTGACAGGCACCGAACTCCGTCTCCCATGTCATTGCGATCGGGCTCGGGGGACCAACCGCGTCCACATATAGCACGTGCGGTCTCGCCTTTGAGCCAGGCACAAACAAACCAAAGCAACGCGGGTGCTAGCTCGCTATTGGCAAAACGCCTTGGAAACGGCAAGGCGGTAGAACTCGCACTTGATCCTAAGAATAATAAATTAAGCCCGCCCTCTCCTAGAGGTTCCCTTCCTGCTACACCAACGTGGCAGCCGAAGCTGACTCCTACGAGACATGGCGATGACCTGTACCTCAGTGTGCAATAGAGGCGACGCCTATTTCTTAATTAAGAAGTATAATCTTCTTAATGTTTCATTTAGTCGACGTGTTCCTTTCTCGTCTCCTACGTCTCATTGCATTAGAGGGTACTGTACATTCATCGCATAGCATCGCATCGCATATATATACCCACGGGCAACGTCAACTGAACGAATTTTCTTTACCTCTATTGCCGCTACGGCCTTGTATTACTACATATTTTTCTACGCCTGCGGGCACTCATACTTGCATATACAATACGGCGTTCTAGGAATTGATCTTCATCTTTGTTATTGAGCATGGAGATAATCTTTTTTTCTACTCGGAGTTTAAGGATAAAAAATATAGGACTAGAAGGAGATAGGTATCGATATCCAACCATACCCAGCATAGGGGACACTCTCATTGCATCGTTCAATCATAACTGTTTTGTATATATTATATCTAGTCTACACGGCTCAAGATTGAAGCTAGCTTAGCATAGCGCCTCGAGTTGATGGACTTGAGAAGATAAATTAAAAATCTTGCTGAATCATAAGTTGGCCATTACCGTTTGCTGTAAATTGACTTAGGATATATAAATGTAACTACTCTCTTATGATTATAACTGTAATATTCTTTAATGTCCTAAAAATTTAACAATGCTCTACCACTTTCTTACCTCCATATCAACCATACTCGCCGAATGATATGATATGATAGACTTATCAATTCAGAGAATGTATTAAGTTATCAGTTATCAACTTTCGGCATTCTCGGACCTCCACAGCCCTCTTCGCACCTGCAGTAGCATTCGGGATCCAAGCATTCCCCGGGAGCGGCCCGGGAAAAATGGAGAATGGCCAGCGTGCAGTGGGGCTTAGCTCGGGGTTCTGGCCCCACATATAAATTTTCTCCATAGAAATTCTCTAAAAATGAATAAAGTTATTTCAGTTCTTTCGTCCTCCTGCTGTGCAACTCGACTTCTCACTTTCCCAACAAGAAAAAGAGAGTCGGGGAAGAGATCCGGATCGCGCACTGCCACCATTTAAACCAAATACACGTCAATTACTGCGGTAGCGACGACGAAAATACTCTCTGTTTGAGCGTCAGCTTAACAGGTATTGGTGTTCTTACAATCCAGTGTGAACCGGGAAACGGCATCGCGGGGGCTTTGCGACAGAATAGACCGGAAGTGCAGATTCCCGCAGAGGCTATATCAGATCAGATCATATCATATCATATCATATCATATCATATCCCGATAAACTCACCATACACCATTCGCGTATTCCTTCCCTATCCAAGCCAACGTCATCCGTCGATACCCTCACACCCAAAGACCCAGACCGGCCAGCCAGACCAAAAAAAAAAGAAAAGAGAACGAAAAAGAAAAAATGGCCCAAGGCGCCGTCAAACCCAAAAAGTCCAGCGCACCCGCCTCCTCGGGCAGGAAAGCCAAGCCGCAGCCCCCCAAGTCGTCGAAGGGTGCGCGCGTGTCCAAGGTGAAAAACGCTTCGTCGGCTGATAAGCTGCAGCGCCGGCTTGCGGCGGGCCTGGTCGCGAAGACGGAGAAGTTGTTGGGGGAGCGCGCGGGACATCTGGAGTTGATTGGGAAGGGGAGGGTGAAGGATAAGGATGGGAAAGATAAGGATGGAAAGGGGACGCCGAAGGGGGGGAGTCGGAAGTTTGGCTGAGGAGATAGAGGGATGGTTGTGAGGCTCGCATGGGATATGATGAGATGGGAATGTCATGGACCTGCTGCTATGATGGCTGGTGGACTGATATTCCGGTAAAATCCGCCGCCTGTGGTTTGCAGTATGCTCGCTAGACGATTCGATCGATTACTACGGCGAGTTAGAATGCTGATTTGCAAAGTACGAGCATACCACCTCGAAGGATATAGGCAGGTCTGTTGAAGACTACGACATGGAGTCTATTTGCCTATCCTCGATATACTCTCTCAGTAAGGGATCATATGGAGATCTTTTACAACATATGTCACTTATAGACAAAGCAGTCTCGATATTACGATAAGAGAAGTGCTTCAAGACTAATTCTAAATTAGGGTGTTTTCCTGCTACAACTTCGAGTTAGTCTAGGTAGACTATCTAGGAGACTCATCAACTAGCAAGGTCAATAAAAGAAATAAAAAATATATTCTGCCATCGTCTCTAAAGGCATCTTCTCTGGCATATAAGTCTATATAGTCTAACCCAACTCATACTATTTATTCTAGCTAAATACCTATTCATTTACTACTCCCGTCCTTCCACTCCTTAGCTATCCCAGCCAGTCTACCCTTCACAAACGCCAAATCCTCATCAACATTAACCCGCCAGCTCGCCACCGCAATACGACACGCAGGCTGTCCCTCCCATTTCGTCCCGCTAACGTACCAATCCCCCGACGCCTGTATCTTTTCAACCAACGCCGCATTGAGCCCCGGGTCTCGCGCGCGGAACAACACCACAATATGCGTGTTCTCTTCCTCTTCCTCCTTCTCCCCTGCCCCCTTCTGCTCGGGCAGTAATTCATAGTCTCCTCGCAGCTCGTCGCCACGCGCTATAGCCCCCGCGATCCCCCGCGCTAGCCGCACCATGCGCGCCAGCATGTCGGCTACGCCCGCCGCGCCCTCGCTTACGAGCACGGCGTACACGGGTAGCGCGCGGAAGCGGCGCGAGTTCTCGAGCCCGATGTTTAGAGGGCTGGGGATGGCGGGGCCGGAGGAAGGGGTCGGCGTCGAGAGGTACACTGCGTTGGGGTTTTGGAAGACGGCTTGGGGGGTGTGGGAGGAGCGGGTGAAGAATATGCCGGTGTCGTAGGGCTGGGGTTTTGTTAGCGGCTGTGAGGTTCATTTGGGGTGGTAGGGATATAGGGGGGAAGGGGGATTGGGGTAGACAGAGGGATGAAAGAAGGAAAGGGGATTATATAAGACGTACGACGTTAAGAAGCTTGTGTCCGTCTACGGTGATACTATCCGCCAACTCGAGACCGGCTGTAAACTCCCGGAGTCGTGCAAACTCGCTTATTGCTGGCAGGGCGCGGGCAAAGATGCCGAATGCTAGATATTTCCAGACGTTAGCATTATTTATCCCAGCACATGTGTATATAGTGTATGTATGGGCAGCAAAACATACCACCATCAACGTGTATCCAAGCCTTGTACTTATCAGCCAAATCCCGTAACCGCCGCATCTCCTCGAAGCCAGTCGTCGCAAATCTTCCCGTATTAACCTCACCCGCACTAACAGCTATAATACTAGCAACACCTTCGCGCTGCAACTCTTTCTCCACAGCATCCAAGTCCAACCTCCAGGGCTCAGCCTCGCTATACCGTAGTTCCTTGACCGCATGCCGTCCTAGCCCCACGATCGACGCAGCCTTCGATAGCGAACTATGGCCCATACTCGTCAGGACCTGAATCTCTTTCACGCCCGCGGCAGCACACGCGCCTAGCAGTCCTAATTCGCCTACACTACCATCCGCACCTCCGCCCGGCAAGCGTGCGCTAATCACGGCTTCACGCCCACACGCTAATCCCAAGACATTACTTGCCGTCGCGCCTGTCGTAAAAGTGCGGCCAGCCCAGCTCTCTCCATCCCCATCGTCTAAACCCAGCAGCCGCAACAACAACCTCAACGCCACATCCTCCACCTCAGTCGCCACGCTCTGTCCCGGCAGATGCACCTGCAGGCTGTTATCCAGCGCCGAGACCAGGTTATCAGCGGCCTCGGCGACCGGCAGCGTGGACCCGGTTACGAACCCGTAGTACCGGCCGCTGCGGTTATGGCCGGCGAGCGCGGGCGCGATGTCGGCTGTTAGGTGTGCGAGGGTGGCGGCGGGACCGCGGCCGGTGAGAGCGTTGGGGGTGGAGGGACTGGGGATGCTGGATCGGGCGGTGGAGAGGGCGGAGGTGGAGGGGAGGGTTGGTGCGGATGTGCCGGGGGGCACGGCGGCGACGGATCGGATGAGGGTGTAGGAGGTGCTGAGGAAGGCTTCTGTGTCCATTGGTGTGGGATGGGGGAGGTTGGAAGCCTCGGTATAGGGACGGTGGTTTATGTTTGTATACTATATCTTTACGACCTAGGAACGGCTTGTATGTAGGTGGTTATTTTAGATATTACGCCCTGTGGATATGTAAGTGGCTAATATATATATGTGTGTGTGTATAACGAAGAGAAATGCCAAGCGAGCTGGAATGAGTCACGGTTCATGAGAGTATTCAAGGCAAAGCGACCAGCTCGAGGTGGAATAAGTCTAAGATCGGAATTTCTAGATTTTATATCTGTTGGCTTGGAAATTATGTGATCGGTGCTGGTCTATCGATCGCAAAGTATTACCTCTAACTAATGCTGGTGGCTTAAAGACGCTAAGTTGGATAGGCTGGCTCACCGTCTAAATCTTACGCTTCTGGTTTTTATTTGTAATTCGGCACCTATGATAATTCTAGGAGTGTTCAAGGACCTTGGGTCGTTTCTTGTGGTAGAGAAGAAGTTGTTATTGGATGAGTGGGGGGTGCATCATGTAACGTCTATACTTTTGCTTGTCGTTCTAGTTAGTTAGATTTTGTTAAACTTAAGTAGCCGCCTAGTTAAAGATTCTCACAAGTAGGATTAAACCCTCTCGACATTTCTAAATATGAGCAACGACTTGCACCGTGGTTTTATAATGCACTGGTTATTATCGTATAGTTATGTCAGAAATGGCGAGAATTCATAAGTTAGGAAGCGTGAAATAGTAAGAAAGGGGTCAAGGCTCGTAACTCAATGTTCAATCACAATTGCTCGGAATATAAGTTATGATGGTAAGTCCTATTCGTCATGTTTAATTTCTCATTCATTCATTTCCTGCTAGATCGAAAAGACATTTATCTCGCTGTCTCTAAACCGTCGCTAAGCTTTCCTCACCAGCCAGGCCAACTCTTCTGTCTTCTCGGGGCTAACTAGCTTTTGGAACTCTTCTGTATTCAAGAAGTCGTGATCGCAGAATTCGAAGCCCGGAACCACCGTTTCTGATATTAAGAGTCCGCCACTGGTCTTCTCACTACCGCTAGCATTATCCGGAAGTAAGAAGCTAGCTTTGAACTTGCCTCCCTCGACGATCCACTGCAGCTTCTCACCATTGGCAACATCCGGGCCGACGGTGAACGTCTCGATTCTCTTTCCACCGCCAGGAAGGTCAGGCTCGTCGGCATGTATTAATACGTATACGCCGCGGCCTCGATGTAGGGTATGTACGGTCCTGCCGCGGTTTCGGTGAAAGTTGCCTTGAGGCGACTGAGGGGTCAGGTAGTAGAATATGGAGGTCGAGGCATTGCGGTGAGCCGGGTCGAAGCCAGGTCTCTGTGGCACAAGAGATGATGCTGGAGTTTGAGGGAAAGGGGAAGGTATGAGAAGAGGATCACGCTAGTCCGGGGTTTTCGTTAGTTGCTGCTTAAGACGAGGGGTTCATCGTGAGAGGATGAGAGGTTACAAATAACTTCGACAGTTATCCAACATTGCTAGAAACATCACTATTTCAAGATACCTACATCAGTTTCAACGAAATATCCTCCCTCGATATGAGGCTCTAGCGAAAGTGCCTTGATAATGGCTTGAGTGGATGGAGGTTCAGAAGCAGCCGATGGAAGACTTGTGGGAAACGATGGTTTAAGTTCTATGCCCGACATGACTGATTCTAAAAAATCCTAGCATAGACGAAGATATCACATATTTAAGGAGCATAGCAGCATCGAGTGCGTATCGAGTTATAATATACCTACCTATTCAACCCGGTAAAACGGTCACACCGCTGAGGATATGAACGAGACCCCATGTCTAGGTCCGCACGCCTCGTCATCATGGTCGATAAGCACTAGAGCTCTAATTCCCTGTCTTTACGATATATGTCTAAGTGTCTAAGACTAAGACCTTGCGTACATAAATAAGAAATGTAAGCACGAAATACGCTTAAAATAAGGGGAATATCTATAAGCAACGTAAATAAATGGCTTTTGTATGGGCAGCTGTTGCAGTTCTTTAGCGTCTGGTTACGGGCCGTTAATGTTGAATAAGGATCCAATTGAAAGGTAGCGAGAAACGGATTTGGGCTGTTTTAGGCTTATTTTTTAAAAGTGGGGTAATGTAAGTGGATATGAGTGGGCGCTGGATTAGTTACTAAGCTAAGTTCAGCTCGGCTAGGAGTTAAAATCGTTTAACTAAAAAAGTGCTTTCCCGTTTTTCCTCCTTTATTTTTTATGGGGTCTTTTACAATTCTTAAGAGGTACATACATGGAAGCCATTGCGATCCAGACCCCGTCTTAAACTCCGTCTTTAGGCTCCGTCGATCCTTTCTTCAATCTTCATACTTCGTTTGGAGTCGAAAATGACCTAGGACACACTCTTTCTCCGGTTTCCTTTTTTTGTCTTTTTCCTCTTCTGGTTCTTGAGCTTCAGGTTGAGTTAATCGAGATATTTCAATCTTATCAGCACGCATGTTTGTTTGTACATGCTACGCTCCTTTTTTTTTATCTGACAATTCTCAAATCATAATGCTCAGTTCCAGCTGATAAAGGCCCAATCCGAATTGAGGAAGAAATAACCCCCCTGACCTATATCTAAAAAGCGACATACCCTCCTTCGGCTTCAGTCGTCTCCCAGCCTCCACGCGAATTTCCTATTTTGTTGTTTGTCGGAAGCCCAACTTTTTTTTTCAGCCGCGCGCCGTTGCAACTAGACTCGTACTCGTACTCGACCGATGCTCACGAGAATATCCATTTATAATTCAATCAACGAGCGCAAGTATGTCTGGGCTTATGAGCAAGCGCCAGCAGGCGCGAAATGAAAAGGTCTTACAGGATCTTGTACATAATGTACCAGGAAATAATTTTTGCGCCGATTGTCAAGCAAGAAATCCATGTATGTGCTACCCGCAAAAAGCTAATACCTTTCCATATCTACAATACAGAATCGAAACTTATAGAGCTAACTTGCCTCCTCTAGCTTGGGCATCATGGAATGTACGTATTCGAGGCCTCCTCCGTCACTACTATCATAGATTTTTAACCGTCATCTAAATTATTATATCCAACAAAATCGACACGAACTCAACGCTAATATAGTTACAGCTTGGTGTTTTTCTCTGCATGCGATGCGCCGCCATCCATCGCAAATTGGGCACACATATATCTAAAGTTAAATCGCTCAGTATGGACAGCTGGTCCAACGATCAAGTCGAAGTACGAATCACCTAGAAGCTCCCAGGGATGGGGTTCGCTCAGTCTTGACTAACTACATTAGTAGAGTATGAAGCGAGTAGGAAACGACGCGTCAAACAAGACTTATAATCCTCAAAATAAGAAGCCGCCGGTACCGATCGATGCTGACGAAGCTGATTCCGCCATGGAACGATTTATACGGGCCAAGTACGTGCAACCGAAGGCTGTAAACGGTACGAAAAAGCATAATACCGGAAGCTCAGACGAGGGTACTCCGCCACCACTACCGCCTAAGACTGGTAGTCGTTTCTTCTCCTTTCGGTCCAAGAAGGAAACGCGTCCACGCGAAAGTGTCTTCGGCGTCCACGACCCCCCACGCAGCCCTGACCAGTCGCGCAACAAGGCTCCTAAGGTTTTTGGAGCTAGCGTGCATCAAGACACCCCAGAGGATATGGCACAGAAGTTAACACAGCTCAGGGATATGGGGTTTACGGATGACAAACGCAACGCTATGATTTTAAAGGGTGTCAATGGTAACCTTGAAAAAACAATAGAAGCTTTAGTGCGGCTAGGAGAAGGTGGAGGAGGACCCCCGTTATCTCTACCAAGTCGTGACAGTTCTATACCTCCTCCAACCTCTAGGTCGTTAACACCTCAACCCTTGACGCCGAGAACCGCGCCCTCGATCGGGCTGTCGAAGTCTAGTCCACCGACAGCGCGGAGTCCAGCTAGCACCGTGTCAAACAACCCATGGGACATACAGCCAGCTCAACCTCAGTCGTCGCAGTCGACAGGAACTTTGCAGAACAGGAACCCCTTTTATGCTACAAATCCATTTGGGATGCCGAATCAGCAAGCCGATTTTAACTTGAACCAGAGCTTGCAGAACTTGAACTTGTCTATAGCACCGGCTCCTCAACAGGCACTCTTCCCACATCATACCGGAGGAGTACCGACTCCGCAGCCCATGTCGCAGTCTTACTACTCGCAGCCGATGACTCCACCAATTCCGCAAACACAGAGTTATGCACAGCCTTCACTTGCTAGCAGTCAGAGCTATTTTCAGCTACCTACACAGCAACCGCAAAGCTATAATCCGTTCCTACAAGCTCCTGCAAATCCGCAGCCCGCACTTTCGTTAAACACTTCCCCATTCCAGAACCAGGGCTCTCTTGCAAATAACCCTTTCGCTAGATCTCCTACTAGAGTCGTGTCGCCAACTCTAAATCAGATACCCGAACAGTCGCAACAGAATTTTTATAACTCATCTCACTCTACGTATGCGAGCAATGCGAACAACCCGAGCAACCCGTTCTTTACGACGAGCCAGCCTGTACAAGCGTCCGCTCCAGCCGTGATGTCCCAGCCAACCCAACAAGCGTGGTACGAGACACAACCTCCCGCACAAGTGGCACCTCAACCGGTGTACCAACAGCAACAGCCTCAAAGGCCTAATACCGCTTCAATCATGGCTCTATATAACTACCCTCAGCTAGCCCCGGCTCGTCCACAGGTACAAGATCAGAGTGCACCCAGTACTCAGATAAACCAAACAGCCCCCCTACCAGCACAGCCGCAGGTACCTCTGCAACAAAACACATCATCACCCTTAGCGGGAAGTAATAACCCTTTTATGCACAATGCAGCAACTCCTGTTCCAAACGCAGCCGCGGCTCCTTCGCCGTTCGCAGTACCCAATAATCACAATCCAGCTCCCTCAGGTGCCAGAAGCAGAGAGAGCATGACTCTTGGAATGGAGATGGCTTGGAATAACGGCCGACACAGTCCAGATGCGTTCGCCAGCCTGAGCGCGAGGAGCGGTTAATTAGATGCCCTACACATACGTGTATATATAAAATAATAATCACAAGGTGTATCATATCAATGAAGAAAATTTAGAAAGTATATATCCCAACCATTGTGCCCATGTTTTCCCCCTATACTACGTATCTTTTCTATGGCAAGCTATTTATGGATCTCTTTCAAGCTGAATTCCTCCCAAGGTATCTCCTCTAGGTTTTCAAAGCCCTGTCCTTCGGTCCGGACTACTTCGCTCCAACCCCGGAGCAAGGCACGCCAGTAACACATCTCCGCCGCGGGGCTGAAATATCCCCCGCCATCGAATAGCTCCCTCTGCCGCCGCGCAATGCCCTCGGCAATCTTGGGATGCCGCTCTAGCCACTCAACCGTAGCTTCTAGATCGCTCCAATCCGGTGCCACAAACACGATATTCGCCTCCCGGGGATCATACTCCTTCGGCCAGGCATCCTTCACCCAGGGCGCCGGGTACGGCACCAATTTCCTACTACTATCAAGGGCAGTGCGCTCCACGCCCTCGAGCTGGTAACTAAAGACAGGCCGCGCAAGGTGCGTGACATGCTGCATCCAGGCGATAGGCGGCGTCAAAACCACGCTCGCGCACAACTGGTGGTACTGGAACCGCCCGCTGTACGTCACGCCCTCCGTGTGCACGATATACCGGTAGCGGCAGAAATCCTCGATCATCAAGGCGTTGCTGCCGTTCGCGGCGAGGGGCTCCACGTCCGCCCACGGTTTCCCCCGCGCGCTTAGGACCAGGTCGTGGCGGAGACGGCCGCCGCCGCGCGGGCTGTTGAACCAGGTCGTGCCGCGCCAGATGGCGCGGGGGTCTTTGCTGCTCCAGGACGGGAACCGCGATTCGAGACTGCGGGTGGATTCTGCGGCGCGCGGGAACGAGCGCACGCTGGAGATGGGCCAGGCGAAGAAACTGAAGTGCGGGATGGCGAAGAAGTGCTTGTTGGGACCGTTGAAGGACGGGTCGGCGGGGCGCGAGTATGATAGGGATGGCGAGGTTGGGTCGTCTTCGTGGTTGAAGGCTAGGATGGCGTCGGGCAGGGGCTCGGTGGATGGGATTGTGAGCAGCGCGTTGGCGAGTTGGTGGAGCGTTGCGGAGCGGTGCTGCAGCATGGCTTCTGATAGGTCGACTTTGCGCGCGTAGGTTAGGATGTATAGCCGTCCGGAGCGGATGCGCAGGATGCTTGGGCCGAGGCCGTGCGGGTTCCGGCGTAGGGTGAAGGGGCCTTTGGAGACGACGTCGTCGATTTCTTTGGTTAGGCCTGGGAAGAAGGTTGTGCACTGCGCGGATGTGAGGGAGAGGTTGTTGAGGAGGGCGGGTGATGGCGGTGGTTTGTTCTTTGAGTTGGGGTTGGGGTTGGAGTTAGAGGCGGAGTGTGGGTGATGAAAGGTGTCGGCCATGGCTGGTCGCGACGAGTCGAGGCTATGGTCGGGTACCAGGAGGAAGCAGTATAACGCCAGGCAGATCACGGAGACGAGGACGATTTGTCGCAGGCGAGAGCTTGAGACGAGGGCTCGCCTGCTTGTTCGCATTGTTATCGCGCCCATTGCGGAAGCGGGTGGTCCATCTCAGGGCTATTCTTATGTCTGCCTACCTCTTTCGACTTCTTCAACTTAGATGCTTATTAGATGTTCGTTCGGTTTAAGACATAGTATTAGGTAGGCTTCCGGTAATCTACCTCTTAACAACTCTCAGATTTTGTAAGAGCTGTACGTATCTAAGCTATCTAGTAGCGAGAGCAAGTAAAGAAACTCATTCTGAGAAATCAAACAGTGATGAAACTATGAGATAGCAAGTCGCGCCCATATCTGCAGATCTGTTCAGAATAACAGGCTGTCCGGGACATCTGGCTCCGAGAGCGTGGCATGCTATTCTGGGTAGTATCATATGTACCTAGCATAACTAAACACCCATCCCATCGCAACTACGACGTTGGATTCCAGGGGTTTTTCATGCGGGCCGCTATGGTTACTGTCGCCAATCAACTTGTGCATGAACATCCCCAGTTCGATATGTATGGACCTTGTCTACCCCGGAAATGTCTACATATATAGGTCGGATAGTAGGTATGTACCTTATACGTATTGTATCTACCTAGTGAAGAGTTTAACTAGGTAGGTACTTTTTATTCTCTATCGAAATTCAGTTACACGATGGCGTCTTTTTAGCCTATGTCGTCTAAGACTTAGGTACCTACATAAGGTACCTAATATTAGGTAGACTCCGCCCGAGACTTCGCTACATAAACGCTTGCAAGCACCCGATGTCACGTGGAGTCTTAGCTCAGTGGTACGAGCGAAGGATTGCAGATCCTTAGGTCGCCGGTTCGATCCCGGCAGGCTCCTTTCATCTGGCCTGGTGGATATAATAATATCAATATTCAACGTTTTTTTTGTTAGTAAATTTTATATTCCATTTTTATGTAAAATTAGCTCTCTTTGCTCGTCTGTTAGTTTTAATATAACATAGTGGTGGTTTAGTATATGGATTAAAAGGCATAAACATCGGATATAAGTATGAGTTTGAAGCTTATATTTCCATCTTTAGCAAGAAAACCGTTGTCTTTCCCGTCAGTCCCCCGTAAGTATAATATCATATTGATCGGAGTGGGGCTTTATTCCACAATAACCATAGATACAACTTAAGGAGCAAGCAACTTCAGTATACATAGTAGTATGAGACCTTTTTCTTTTCTTTTCTCCCTTTTCTTTTTTAGAAAAAAAAACCTAACTTTCGGAGTATAACAACCAGGCAATAATATCTACAACAAGTTGCCTCTCAACTCCTAGGAACATCCGACTTAACAGTCAAGGGGTGATATGCATACAAGCATAAGAGAGAAGTTTTGATTTCAAGTCATGTTTCTAAAGACCGAATACATAGTAAGAAGCCTCTAAGCCATAGCTGCAGCAAAACCGTCAATCACACATGCTTCTTTGTTTGTAGAGCTAAGATTCGGCGTTTAGATGAAGGTGGTGTGGAAACCCCTCAACGATACACCATTCCTAGGGAGGAATCCCGCAAACCTAAGGCTACGATGAGGTTTACTCCCCGATGTTTGTCATCGATTTGGCGCCATCGGTGATATTGCAGCGGAGTTAAGAAGTCTTAGTAATAAGGAGATGGAGCTAACTTTCCGGAGAGCCCCGTTGACAAGCTACAATAGAGCAAAGTCCTTCTGTGTTGTTTACCGGATAGTCCACCTACGTAACTACATGTATGTATGTATGTATGTAGATCTTGAATACCGATTGGCGGTTGGTTCCATCGTCTTGGCATTCGCAGTTGACTTTATAGTCGGACTTAGGCATCATACGAGGTTATTCTCTTAGGTATCGATTTATACAAGACTCACCACGACGTCTTTTAAGACTTGCAACTGTGACTTAGGCTGTATGTGGATGCATACAACTTCGAAATGATTGTCATTCCAAACACCTGGTTTGACGAAAAGGTCCAAGAAGAGGCAGCGACCACAGAGCAGACTGCTGCGCTTAAAGCTTACCTCGAGGATGATATAGAAGCTGAGGAAGCGGGAATACTTCTTACTGCAGATGTGCACCAAGCAACCCTTGCTGACACAACCTCGGCCGAGGAAATAAACGAAGAGCTATGCAAGCTCTGGGGATTTTTCATTGACGTCATCGCGGACTGGCCTTCGGAGCACATCAAGGTTGCTAATCTTTTAGATGCCATTAGCAAGCTTCCGCATGTCGACCGCACCGGAAGAGACAGCTTGGACAGGTTCATGGATGCGACTGGGACAGTCAGAGCCTCTGAGCTGTGGCAGGATCTCCCTAGATTCTGGAATTCGTTTAGCGATTTCTGGCATTGTAAGTTACTCGACATGTGTCTCTCCTGCCGTACCATTAACGGGGTCTAAGCACGTTCTAACGGTCGTTCAGCCTCAGCTGGTTGGCCATATAGCCGACCTGAATCCAGCGTGGAAAAAGCTGCTAACAATGAATGGACCAACCTCAACTCATTCGCCGCGATAGTCTTTATGGGCGGTCCGTTTGCGGATATGACGCTTTTGGGAGACTGGGGCTGCTATGTTATTAAGAAGGCGACGGCGTCGGACTACGAGCCGATAGGAGTGCATATTCCCTCGGCAGCTGTGTGGATGCGGTTCGCCGGCAAGGAATTGTACCACTTTTATGTGACGCGGTATGAGGGACCTTCAATGCAGGAGAGGTGGGAAAGCTGGAGGAGGGAATTTAAGAAGATTTCTAGGAACAATACGATAGATGCGGATATTAGAGAGAATGCGGCCGAATTAGTAGAGTTGATGGGGATGCCTTTATGAGCAAGTGAAGTTAGGAGATGACATCCTATTATTGTATAACTATCAAGACGCAGAAGAGATAAATTCCTGCTCATGTATATGCTTTAGTCTTATAAGTCTTATAAGAGGGATCCCGAGATCCGTATTTATATGCCTGGGGAAGGTACGAGGTAGACAGCTCCGTTGCTACCACGCCGATGCGCTTAGGTTAGCGGTAGTTTCGGGTACCGGTAGGGCTAATCTCGGTATTAGTAGCGGGCGAAGTGGGTCCCTCCCGCTAACAATCGCGTGCTCGCTCGACATGCAAAAACCCTTTTTCCCTCACGAGTCATCGTCTTTATCGTTGGACGTTAAGTTGATTATACAAGAACTAGGTATATATAAATACGAATATTAGCGTGTGAGATCATCCGCAGTGGCCACACTATACTTGGGAGACCACCAGAGATCTCGAGATTTAAAACTTGTGATAGATATTGCTGTGGGCTACAAAATGGTTCGGAATCTCAAAAACCTCTCCGCCCCTACCCTAAACTTACACATTGAAATTTCGTCTCTGACTTATACTCATAGGTTCATGCGGATGCATCGAATTTTGCCGAGGGCGTGACAAAAGAGCAGGCTTACACGCAAGTCCTCTTACAGGCTGAAGGTCTCTTTGACGGCCAAAGAAACTGGGTGCGTTCATGCCCTCAGAACTCAAGCACCAGACTCACACTTATACTTGTGCCTCCTTAGGTATGGTATGTCTTCCGGCTCTCGATCGAAGTAGTATCGTCAGTTTGGAGTTGAACTGACGGATGAGTCCTTGAAGCAATCTTGCCAACGCAGCATCCCTCTTATGGCACGCTTATAAATCGTTGCCTCACCCAAGCAACCAGGTGAACTGGGCAGGTTAGTAAAATATCGAAATATGGAAGCAGGCTTTATGGCTTCTTAAAACATAAGTGCTCGAATTTACAACTGCGCCATTGCAGGCTTCTATACCCTCGATCCGCAGGCGACTACATCAAAACGCCAGCTCGTCTTAGGGCCGTTCCAGGGCAAAGTCGCCTGCCAATCCATCGCCTTCGGTAAAGGGGTATGCGGGACCGCCGCAGAAACCCAGATAACACAGCTGGTTCCCGACGTCGAGAAGTTCCCGGGACACATCGCCTGCGACGGGGATAGCAAGAGTGAGATCGTGGTGCCTATTGTCGTCGGAGGCGGAGAAGCGAAGAAGTTGGTGGCTATCATAGACGTCGACTGTGCGGACTTCAACGGATTCGACGACGTGGATAAGAAGTACTTGGAGCAGTTGGCAGAACTGTTGGGGGGGAGTTCTGATTGGTGAAGTAGGAATCATGAAAGTGGCTTACGGAACTATTGCCTATCTCAATCGCAGCGTCTGGCCTATTATAGGTTAGATTGTATTCAAGGTATTATTCTGGAGTCTCCCATATGCAGGCTGTGGTGGAAATCTGCTGCCCCGACGCGTTGGGAGTTACCAAACCTGATTAAGATGATGTATATCCTTTCGAGGACCAATTAATTACATACAACATACCATTATCAAGGGCATATCCTGGCTTATACCCCGAACTAATGCAAATAAGCAACGACTCTAATCGTCTAAATCACTTGGGCTCTATTCGTGCCCCCCAACTCGACGAGTTCATAAACGTGATGGTTCCCCAGACTTCAAACATTACTCCTATCGCGTTCTTATTCATACAAAACAACTCCAGAATACTTTGCTGTTAATATTGGGAATATCCTTACTTGTATCAACTGTGGCGTCCTATAGTTTCCTAAGTTAATTAGCTTAGCAAATTATTCCTAATTGATTCAGTCGTAACCGAACCCTATAAGGGAATCAAGCCGACGATTCTACAGGAGTCAGCCCGATTTTTTTTTTTAAAAACAACTGGAATTCTATTGCCTCACCATGTCTCGTACTTCACACAACCCGGCACAGTACGCTTTGGCGTTTCCATCGGATTCGAACGATATAAAGCAAAAGGGAAACGATTTCAGGTTTTCTGATTCTCCGTCTCCGAGACAGCAGACCATACAGACCTTAGATACACTACCACTATGGTGGTTCCCAAGAGAGAAATATTCCGAGCAACCGACGTCGTGGTCAAATCATCCTGACTACCGGACCGTTTACGAGGTAGAGAAACGGACATATACATGCTTCTACGTGTTAGGAGCTGCAGTATCGCTGCTGTTTACCAGCGTGGGGTTGGTACTCTGGTGGTCGATAAGTCACGGTGACGTGTCAGGCGGATTCGGGATAGGTTCGTATATGCTTACGATGTCGACCGTTATCATCGCCTTGTCAAAGTATATACACCGATCGAGCTGCCGGTGCTGGGTCCGCCATGAAAATATTTCCGCCGTGAAAAGTCACGAATTCCACGAATTCAGGTCATTACTATACCCTTTCGTTAAACAGCCTCCTTCCAGAAGGATACTGAGAGAGGTTCTACTGAGGGAAGCATATGAGTAATATGTCTTTACTCCTGTAAAGCAAGCAAGTAGATATGACAAATACAATTTATAAATATTGAAAATAACAGATATACTTGTGAAAATACCTAAGAATAACTTAGTATTAGGTAGTGAATATAATGTGAGGCAGCCATTGTCGTTGTAGATACCTAGGTACTAATAGGGGGGAGTATTGGATATACCGATATTCAGTCTTAACCTTCCACCATATCAACTTATGCACCAACCCAACACATCGCCCCGCACCGGACGCCAAGCCCGTGTCAAACCGAACCCACCTCCAATTCCGAAATCCCGATCTCGCAGCCGAGGAGCTTAGCTTTATCCCACCTCGTTTTCGCAAATGGTGATAATGCGATAACCATGAGAAGCTTCCTACGGACCCTACGAGTCTTCTCCAAGCTAACCACATCTCTTCCCCGGACTCGGACTCGGACTCTAACACCTAATTCCCTATCCCTCGCAGCCCGCACAATGGCCACCTCTACCGCGCCCGTCCTCAAGCAGCCTATCAAATTAGCCTGCATCCAACTCGCCAGCGGTTTGGACAAGACGGCCAACCTAGCCCACGCGCGGGACAAAGTCGTCGAAGCCGCCAAAGCAGGCGCCAAACTCGTCGTATTACCAGAATGTTTCAACTCGCCATACGGCACCAATTACTTCCCACAATACGCCGAGACCCTTCTCCCCGGCCCCCCATCCCCCACTCAATCCCCCTCATACCACGCGCTCTCCGCCATGGCCGCCGAGACCGGGGTTTTCCTCGTCGGCGGGTCGATCCCCGAGGCGGATCCGGACCCGAGCACGAACAAGTACTACAACACGTCGCTGGTGTTCGGGCCGGACGGGACACTCCTAGCGAGCCACCGAAAAGTGCACCTCTTCGACATCGACATCCCGGGGAAAATCTCCTTCCGCGAGAGCGAGGTGCTGTTCCCGGGCAACAAGGTGACCGTGGTCGAGCTGCCCGGGTACGGCAAGATCGCCGTCGCCATCTGCTACGACATCCGGTTCCCGGAGCTGGCGACGGTGGCCGCGCGCCGCGGCGCCTTCGCCCTCGTCTACCCCGGCGCCTTCAACCTGACGACGGGCCCCCTGCACTGGCGCCTGCTGGGCCAGGCCCGCGCCGTGGATAACCAGCTGTACGTGGCGCTGTGCAGTCCGGCGCGCGACCTGCAGGCGGAGTACCACGCGTACGGACACAGCTTGGTCGTCGATCCGATGGCCCAGGTGCTCGTCGAGGCCCAGGAGAAAGAGGACGTCGTGTATTGGGAGTTGGACGGCGAGAAGATCCTCGAGACGAGGCGGAATATCCCGCTCGCGACGCAGCGGCGGTTCGATGTTTATCCGGATATTAATGAGGGTAAGATTAGTTTTGAGGAGCCGAATCCGCCCAAGTGAGGTTGTGGAGGTGGTGATGGGGGTGGTGAGTTAGGAGTTTGTTTCGCTGGAGAGGGTTTAACGCGGGCTTAGATATATCTGACTGCCTACGGTATGGGACGTGGATTATGGAACTAGGCGCTGCCACGGGAGACAGCTTGGACGTAAGGTTAAGTGTTCTTTGGGAAGTTATCTTGTCTTATTGTTTCTGAAAGCATGGTCACTACTACTCTGTAAGTTTTAGTGGTTATTTTTACTACCTATTGTAAATAATCTAGAGGCAAGCGGTCCTTAACGAAGTATGAATCACGACAAAATTTGAGGTTATTGTTATAATGTCGGTGTATTTGTTTGACTGTCGTCTAAAGGGAGTCTTGTATATGTCTTAGATACATACCTATTAATTGGTCTGTCTCATAAGCCTTGATCTTCTTTTAATGTGGTATATAACTTATTCTTTCCCGTGATATATCATTCTAGTAGCCTTCACGGCCTATTCTACTATCAATTCCTTTCCTAGCAATTCACTTCCACATGGCCAGTTTTTACCCGAGAATAAAATGTACCGAGCACGCATTTTCGTATAGCCATGAGCAATACGTATTTTATGGTATCAATCTACCTATCTTATTAAAAAGGCGCGTGTAATGTCATACGCAAATAACCGACTCCTTTCGTCTTCGCATGCTTGTGGATCGTCTCCGCCACCAAGTCATATGCAGCTTTCCGGCGTCGTATGAACACGATATGTCGTATGCCGCCCTCGCAATCATCTGGTGTTTGACCGAATAACTGTGCCGCGGCGTCATCGGCTTGTGCCATAAAGCCACCAAGGGACGACGGTAATTATACCGAGGGTTAAACTGTTGTAACACTTGGAGAGATATCGTATGTAGGTATGTATACCTATGTTGTGTATGTGTATCTTCAAGGTTGGACCCTGTTATTACCTCCCACACAAGGAAAAAAAGGAGGCACGCGAGCAATTTCCTTATCGGATACTAAGCTGGGTAACGGTCGATCCTCAGGGTCTCCCTTACCTGAGAGAAGCATGCGTGGTTTATAGGTATGTCTCACTGAACTACCAACCCCTCTCTCTGCACCCCACCAATTCATAATCTATTAATCGATCGAAGTGTCACAGATAGACCCCGAGAGACTGCCGAGAGTTCAAGGATCGATGGCGGTTAGTTATACTAGGATTGTGTGATACTATATGGACGTTACTTTTTTGCGTAGCATAAGGGGGGAGGGAAGCTCGCGAGCATGATCAAGTGTCTACGAACGGTAGGTGTTTGTAAGATAAGGAATAGGCTATCACTCTTTCGGGTTTCATATTACGCGGCTGATGAATGCAACAACGCGAAAAAAGCGATAGAAAAAAAAAAAAAAAAAGAGGCAAGGGAGGCGAGAGTAACAAATAAATGACTGGTCACATCCCCCGTAGGTTCTTTTCCGAGCCGTTGCTATTCTGCATGTCAGCGTCGCTTTCCGATACCGCTCGGCATCTCATCTAAAATCTCGAGAATCTGTGATCTTGAGCGTCTTGAGCGTCTTTGCTCTCTTAGTCGTTGTGAAACAGAATGACGGGAGTTGCCGGTCTGACAGTTTGAGAATTTCTAATGCTGCTTAATGGTTCTCCTTTTAGTCGCGGACCCCCACTCGGAAAAAGGAATAGATTAATATTACTTGCTTTTTTCTTCTTATTTAGACGTCTTTTTCACCCTTCTAGGTAACCTAATCGGCCCTGAAGACAGGTTCAGCGGGCTACTAGCTATAAACTAGTATTTTTAGTATACATCTAGATACGCCTGGACCACTTTGTTAGTGTTAGTTAAGTTAGTATTTGCTTTTTGATACTAGGAGAAATAGGTATAAAGGCCTAGGCTATCTAACTACCTATTCCCGGAAAACTGATGCTAGGGATTCGGATGCGGCTCTACGTAGCCGGCATGCACCTTGTAGATCACGAGGATGACCGGCTTGGCTCTTATTGGCACTATAAAATTTATGTATGCACTCTGCTGTTGGTTCCCATAATGTGACTTAGAAGGCTTATTTCTTGCATTGGATAATCTTAGGGTCGAAATTGAAATTCTGCGATTTGACTCTATTCAAAATATCGAGTGGGTGGATAGATGGCTGGTAGTATCGGTGGTGGTGGTAGCAGTCGGTTTAGAAAATTTATTTTGCTCCTGAACCCCCCCTGGTTAACTGGGATGGCTCCGCGTTTAGATGCGCTCTTTGCAGTAGTTGTAGCCGGGTTTGTTCGGTAAGGGCGCTCAGCTTTGAACATTAGTATACAGTAGAAGTAGGCAAGGCTCGCATGGCATATCTTTTCATAATCGCAACGGCCAGTGATGAGATATACATAGTATCATAACGTGACTTTGATAGACAGCTTGCAGTTTTCCCCCCATGCATGATAGGCGATGTCGTAGTAGAAGTTGTGACGATCATTTTGGTGATGATTATGAAATCTCCTCGGTTCCTTAAGGACACACTTTTTAAAACATAGTTACCCAAAGAAAATAACTAGTTATACCTTTTTTGAGATCTCTTCCATGCAAATCACGACCCGCTTGTCTACATCATCAAGATGTCCAGATCCATAGACATTTGCGGCAAGTGGACACGAGACCAAAGTAATCTGTACTGTAGACGTTCTAGACGCCATGGTTCCCTTGCACCAAATTCGTAATGTGTAATCCCGGTTGACAAAATGCTGCAGTTCATACGGTTACAGCGCAGTCATTGTGGAACTTTTTCCATTTGTTTGAGTCAATTGGAACCTAAGCCGATACGACGGCTGGCCAAAAAGAGGCAACAGGTCGCATGACCATTTACCTAGTAAGAAAAAAAAGATAGATATGAGATCGGGTAGTCAGGGCACATATGTATGTACAATTAGAATATGGAGCGGAGGCACTGAAGGCTTATCGGGAAAAAAAGAACGAAAATGAAGGCATCGAAGATGAGTGTTACAACAGTTTTAAACCTGTCACAGAGCGGTGAAGACACACGTGTTTGATATACGGTTTGTGATTGGCAAATTACACTAAATGTTAGATAGTCTTAATTCGTCCTAATCCGTCTATTTTCTGCAAGTTTTCTATGTGAGGGAAAGATTTATGTAGGTTTCCCCAAAGCTAGCGGATCCGGCTGTTAGGTAATGATACAGCATTCAAGGAGCATTCAAGGTAAGCTTGTCTGTATCATCCACCAATTATAACAACTCTGCCCCGCTCTAACCAAAATCAGGGTCTTCTTAATCGACCAATCAACTTACATAGATTCTTCAACCTTCTCTCTGTTAGTTGCAATATAAACCCCGGATGCTACCTGATCAGTATCATAATTGCTCCTTTAATACTTTCAAAATAACCCTCAGATCGTAAGCTTCGCGAGCATCTAAACAGTCACCGCATATTAATTATGCAAGCGATCAGATCGCGGTGAGACAATTTTCTTATAGGTTTTATTGGCGGCAATACAATTGACGGCAGCACAGCAACACAGCATTCATAGCATCACAGCATAGCCGATATAATGGTATGATGATGTCGACAGTGGATCATATATTCGTTAATCAATCCATTATGCCCTTTGTATTGCATACGCACCAGTGGAGAAAAAATAGAGTAGGATTTAGGACAAGGATAATTATGACCAGGATTAGCGCAGGGGCCGAGACCGCTACGTATTTCCCGCCCTACCACCACCGCTAAAAGCTCTAGCGCTAGAAATAAGGCAATGTGCATCTCGGTTGATAATGAATTGGAAAGATTGGGAGATTGTCGAAGAATTGGAAGTCTCGACCGCGAGACTCTCACGATACAATGTATGTACGTATACTTTATTCTGCTACTCTAACCGGCTTTTTATTCCTATTCCCCGTCAAAGGATTAGAAATAAGAAACCGCGCTACTGTAAATATGACACCACTTAAACAAATCATTTATAATGTCAAGGGGTTCCCGAGTTTCTTATCCACTACTTTTTAAGTTCTATCCACCGCTTCTATGATTTATGAAAACATCCAATAAACTTTCGCTTCTATAATAAACCGAAGAAGAGAGACGATCAATATTTCAATAATCTGTCCGTGCAACAGCTGGAAAGCAAGACAATTGGCGCCAATCAAGTTCCAAGCAACTAAGAAACAAAGCCTTAAGAAACCAAGTATCTAGCTTCGTCTCGGCGTGCATCTTATTACATTGAAGTACCTATCTCGTATCTACGTTAGGTACTACGCTACTTACATGTGCGTATAAGGGTATCCACCAAAAGCAGCATCAGCAGCAAGGCAGGTAGTACCAGAGGTAGTACCAGAGCGACTGTATCTACCCGCCGAAATATTGAACATTAATAACGTCATATGATTGCCCATGGAATAATCGACGGTCTAAATCATTGAAAGTTCCCGACTTCTCCCCGCCATCTAAATATTCTTATCTATTTACCTATTAACTTACTATTATTACCCCCCGAACAATTGTTCCGAGCAAACCAAGACCTATCCAACAATTCCGATCTAATCTTTCCTCCTCCTATATACACATACGAATAATTTCAATTCGTATTATATAGACAAGAGGTGATATTGTGAATCATTCCTTACCGATAAAATAGCCGAAACGGCTATATAATCGTCGTGGCGCTTTCGAATTGGTAGAGTAACGATGAAATACGGGGAGCATTTTGAAGAAGAGTCGGTCCCGAGCTGGAGTCTACATAACATCGACTACAATTCGCTGAAGCACCAGATTAAAGTACACACCACTAAAGACCAGGCCACCGCAATTGCTATTCCTGGCCAGCAGGACCATGCCCTGAAGAGATTTGAGGACGCCTTCTATATCGAACTCTGTAACCAGCATAATCGCGTTGGTCTCTTCGTTACAAGCAAAGCCGACGAGATCTCAAGACGACTATGTACGCTTTCGCCATCTACCATCCCAATTGACCTACCTCATTTAACTAACAGTATATTCTATAGGTCACCTTTCCGACTCGATACACCAACTCATAGTACGATGTAACAACGCCGGTGGAGTGTCGTCTAAGCGACAACGACGACTCGCTAAATACGCATTACAAGTCGACGAGTGCGACGACGATATTAAGGCATTGAGCCGATTTGTTAACGCCCAGGTTATCGCGTTCCGTAAAATACTCAAGAAATACAGGGTACGTACTCACATGTAACTTCTCGACGTTATAGGAGAAAACCTACACATGGTCATAGCATAGTACTAACGGTTGCCTGCATATACACAGAAATGGACTGGCTCGACAACGTTAAGTAGTCGTTTTAAAGAGAATGTCCTCACCTCACCCAAGAGCTTCACGAGACGCGACTTTCATCCATTACGACTACACCACCGAGAATTGCTCGCCACCTTAGAGGCCGCCACTCCCGACCTCAACTCCCTCCAGATCGAACGACAGAAAGTTAAATTACAATTCGAACGACGCGGCGACAGTCGCCGATCTTCGCAGACACAATCCCCGAAACCCGCATCCATTAGTACACCGGGCGGTTCGTCGATGACGTATTGGAACGAGTACGAACACGGAAGCGAGGCGGGTGATCACGATGAGGAACGAGGATACGCAATCTATATCGACCCTAACGCGAGTGTCGACTTCCCAGGCTTTGTGTATATTAAAATGATTTTCACTGTCCCGGTAGACAAAGTTCGGCACTGGTTGAAAACGCGCACGCCACATCTATATTCATCCGAAACACAATCCCTTCTTAGCAGCCCTTCGCCTGATTATTTCAGTACCCGACATTCGACTGCACAGACGACCGACAACGAAGCGACCGAAGACGAATATGCATCGTCATTAAATTCTAGTGTCGGTCGCCGGAAGGGAGCACGCTATGCAGCATTGGCGGCGACAGAAGAACACAATGACTACCAAGTGACCTTGTATCGCGATAAGGTGTTGACTCGGACCGTAATATTCACTTTCGTTGCTGCGTTTATCCTCTTACTCGTCTCTGGGGTATTGGTAGCAACGGGTCGACATAAGCTCCGACTCGAAGTCGACGCTGGCGTTACGATTGGATCCGTAGCAAGTTTATTCTGCGCTTGCATGGGCTTAGGTGCTATGTTATATCGTCAGTATCCCGTCAGTATTCTATACAGTCTTGCTGTCTGGGCGGCGTTCATAGCTGTGTGTGCCTTGAATGGCATGTTGCTTGTATTAGTAGTGGGGAGCAACGGGTTATGAAAGTAACCAATCGCCACCACCAATTGATTTCGACCTCGGTTAGGGTTTGTCTTACGTTAGGTGTTTTGTGGCGTTCTATGGGATGATCTATGGGAGAGGAACGCGGCATACCCCTCGCATATACGAGGTTACATGCTATATGCATATATCCTCGCCTCACCACTAAGGTCTTGGGGAACTAAAGGGATATAGAGATTGCTATCGGAGGGCTCAGCTCATCCAGGACGTCAAGTCTCGTTTCTTGGGCGGGTTCACGTTTTTCTTATGCATATTGCGTTATAGGCTTGTTTCGAAACGGCACGATACCATACATAGATTTCGGGTTCGTGAGCCTGTTCGTAGATAGTTGTTTGATTTTAGTGAAGGGCGATTATGTTGCGGCTCGCTGCCGCTGGTGCGATTTGCATTTGTACGTGAGTAGGTAGGCATAAGCATCAATAAATATTATTACGATATTGTACCGTGTTTCTTTCTGTTATATCTGGTAGAACTATGTTACCAGTATATATGCTTTAGGTACTCTTTTTTATACATGAAGCCCGACTAAGATCTGACCAATTACTTTCTTAAGAACCGCCATGCGCGCAAGTCAGCGGCCAGAAGAGGTAGGTCAGTATAACGGAGATAGTTTTTAGCCTGTTATAACAGAGTATATCAATATCAATTTTCAATTTAGACCGAAATATAGACCAAACTATTATTTCTTCCGAAAATATCATTCGAAGTCCATTCTCTAGTAGTCAGTCTCCTACTATATTCATACCCTCGTCCCCTTTTTGCTCGCGCGTCAAACCTCGCTGTCTTCCAATGTATACCACCCATATTCCAGACTCCATACCAAATCAGACATAGAGAAGATGAGTAGAGAAATAGACGGCAGGACAAAGAGTCGGGAAAAATAAAAAAAATAAAATAAAAAAAGTTTCATGGTTATTATAGTCCCGCCTTTTTTCCAAACACCAAACTAAAACCTATAAACCTGGACAGACTAAGTACCTAGGTAAGTAGGAGACGAGGATATATATGAAAAATCAGAGGAAGCTCGCCTGATCTTTCTTCTTCTTCTTCTTCTTCTTCTCCTTGAAATAGCACTATTAACCTCCAGGCTCCAATAACAAGTTTTTCCAATCCCATCCCATATCCAGACAGACAGACAGATAGACAGATAGATAGACTTCCCTACGCGGAGGGAGTAGTTATATATTTAAAACATATATATGTTAGGTACCTAACGTAATAATAAGACGAGAGCGAACGGTATTTCGAAATATACCACCACGACCATCCATATCTTCTTTCTTCTCAGGCACCTACAGACGAGGAAGTAAGGGGAGGGGGGAGGGTAAGAATGGTCCCCGTACGGCGGGGGCGAAATGTCACCTCGGCACGAAATCGAAACACATGGTATGCGGCGGGGGCATCAGCCGCGAGCGCTGGAGGTAGTGGTTGCGGTCGACGTTGAGTTTCTTCTCGAGCTGGCTCATCATTTTTTCTAGGACATGAGTTAGTTAGTTTAGTTACTTAGTTACTTACATAGTCTCCCCCCCTTCCCCTTCCACTTCTCCTTCCCTTTCCCTCTCCTAGGAAAGAGAAGAGTAGAATAGAATAGGATAGGGTAGGATAAAACAGAGAGGCTTACCAGCGATCCCCCACCGAAAACTAAACAACTTCAAGCTCTCAAACTTCTCCTCGATATTAGCCTCGCAGTCGTCGCGCTCCTCGGGGAAGATGCGGCGCAGCGCCGCGTACGCCTGTATCACCAGGTAACAGGTGGCGCCGGCGGGGGCGCACAGGAGCGCGGGCGACCGGGGCGCCGTCGACTCGAAGTTCGCGTTTAGCTTGCACGAGATGTCCGTCGACATCTTGCAGGCGAAGCGTAGGGCTGCTATCGCGGTCGAGAGCTCGGCGCTCGAGGCGACGAGGGTGGATGCGGGCGTGGAGGAGGAGAAGTGTAGCGTGTTTTCTAGGATGGAGAGGTAGGGCATGTAGAGGGTGAAGAGCGCGCTGGGGGGGTGGTTAGTGGGGAGGTTTAAATATATAGTTGAGTGTATTGGGCGTAGAGCTGGAGGTGGGATGAAGGTAGGTAAGGTAGGTAGATAATAGGGGGCATACCTAACAAGCATGGCAAAACAATCCAGCATAGCCTCCCAATCCAACGTCTCGCCCAGCAACGTCAACGTGCTCTCCCTAATCTCCCTGTCGAGATCCGCATACGTCGATACCAGCGGCATCTTGCCCGGCCTCGCATCGCGCTCCTTGTCTATGCGCAGCGCGCGGTGGAATAGACACGCCGTCTTGGCCGAGAGCTGGAAGCCGCCGAACTTCTCGGTGCCGATGAGGATGTTGGTGCTTAGGTGTCGCGGCGCCGACGGCGGCGACATGGGAAATACGACTCCGGACCCGGTGCCCGTCCCGTTCGAGCTCGGCGGAGGCGTTGTGGGAGGCGTCTCGGGCAGAAGCGTGTTGCGCGTCGGACTTTCTAGTAGAAAGGGGAAGTCCCTCGCGTTTTCGTCCTGGTGGATGAACCTAGAGTCTTGTAAGTAGCTCTCCCCTTTAAGAATTAAGAGAAAAGAAAAAGGGGGTAAAATATATCACCACTTACTGCTCCAATATAAACATCCCCCACCAAAGACCACCACTCTGCTCCTCTTCCACCCCATTCATACCAATATCCCCTCCTCTTCCCGTCCCCCCCTCCGCCAACTTCGCCGGCCTGATCCCCAACACGCGCGCCGTAACAACAGCCTGGCTCAGCGTGCGATACGCCGTGACCGCGTCGCCGTGGCCGTACTCGTACAGCGCGACCAGCGCGCCGCACTGCACCACCTCGACGTCCGGGTGCGGGTCGCCCGCGCACGCCAGCAACAACGACGATAGCAGCCGCTTCACCGTGCGGTACGTCTCGTCGAAGATGGGCTGCGGGCCCGCGTCCGTGATGCGCATCCGCGTGAGCAGGGCCATGGCGGCGACGAGGAGGGCGACGGTCTTGGCGGATCGGTCCGAGTGGGAGTGGGAATGGGAGGGCGTGTCGGACTCGTCGGTTACGGCGGCGAGACCCGCGGCTTGTTGCTCGAAGAGCCGAGGGTGGATCACGGCGTACCATGAGTGCACGCAGAGGAAGTACGTGTTGACGACGGCGCGCCAGTCGATGTGCTGCCCCTGCCCCGACCCCGACCCCGACCCGGGCGATATCAGCGATAGGATCTGCGCGGCGGTGATCCCCTCCAGGGGCTCCGCGCCGCGCAGCAGGGCGTCGTGCGATAGCGAGTGTGGCTGGTAGATTACTAGCTGCGCGCCTTGCGGGATCACGTTGTTGGATATGTCGTGGATGTAGTGGCATTTGGCGTTGAGTCTGCGGAGCGTGGTTAGCCTCTTTTTTTCTCTATTTCTTTCTTTCTTTCTGTCGGTGTTTTGTTTTGCTTTGCTTTGCTTTCTGTATAAAAACCCCCAATATCGATTCCGAAGTTGCCCATCTTTTGTGGCGCTGTTCAGCTAAAGAGATATATATATATATTTTTTATGAATTCGATAGGAAGTTTATCAAATTTGATAATAGGCCAAGTTAGGCTGGGATAAACTTCCTCGGGGATAAAAAGAAATAAGTCAAGACTCTAATAACTAGTAGAGGTAATATGTATGGATGCTGTATATGATAATGACATGGCCTTACCTCTTACACCTATCGCAGAAAGGCAGCTTCTTGTCACATTTCCGTTTAGACGCACGACACTTCTCACACGCGCGCGCGGCCAAACCTCCTAGGGCCGACGCTTCTATCGTGCCGTACGCGGGCGAGCCTTGGAAACACTGTCGCTTGGGGGAGGGTCCGGGAGACGATTCCGGCGTCGTCTCGGACATGGGCGAGAGCCCGTTCGGAACCTGTGTCGTCGGCATGTCGGCGGACGTGTGGTGCGCTGGCCTTCAGGCACTTTGCGCATTTGGTATGTATGTATACCTATTTCTAGGGAGTATACCCTGGCCTACCTAGTAGGGGCCCGGGTGGGGGTGTGTGTGAGAAAGAGTAGAGTGTCTGGCTGCTGCTGCTGTTGCCACTGCTACAACCAAGGATCGGGGTTGTTGTGCATTTCTCCCCCCCTTTCCTCGGGTGCTTGCTGATGCTACTTGACTAATGGCGTCGGACAACCTAAGGCGAACCGGCTGTAGAATGTAGAAGATGGGTGGTATAAGGCGTGTCTCGGACAGTTGCAGCCTTACAAAAAACCAATGATGTAATATGTCAATATAGCCCTTGAGTATCTCTGCTGCTGCTGCTCACGGGCACCGAGTTTGATTTTCCGCGGAGAATTAAGATTTCTAGTCGTCGAAAGAGATTAAAATAAAATAAAAAACCTCTTAAAAAAAAAACAAAGCTGACTTGCCTCCCCTCGGTGATTTATCTAGGGTAATAATATTATAAGTCAGTCAGTAGACTCGTCGCCGTTTTTGCCTGTGTTTGGTTGCAAGCCGGCTGTTGATTCGCCCCTTTGGAACTAACCGGATGATCGACAGGTCGAGCTGAGAAGAATGAAAGCAAAGGGGCAGGGATTGGCCAAGGAGAAGCTTTCGGTAGCACAAAGTACGTATATACAATACAAGGGGGGAGGGGGGGGACAAGAATATCGAATAAGAAAAAATCAAAAGGGTATGTGGTGTATGTATGTAGAATAAGGAATATGATGTGTAATATAACGTAAAGTAAAGTAATGCAAAGTAAAGTAAAGTAATGTAATGCAATCTCAACTCTGTTTCTTGTCTCTGCTAGTTTAGGTAGTTAATATTTCTTCTACTATTTCTTATCCAGTCGGACAAGCTCCAGTCTCGAATCCCTATGTATGTCCGAAGAAGACTCAATAATAGCCAGAACGAACAATTCGCGCTAAGACTTTAACGATTCAGTTCCATCTGCACGGCGAAATTCATCCAAGTAGCGCCTTCACACATTGGTCTAACTCTACCCTTCTCCAGCTTCGAAGGGGCCTAAATACCGAGGCTTTTTAAACTCCATAAACTCCTCCTTCCCCACAGTCCTTCTAGGGATGGATAGATGGGAATTGTTCTGCAGCAAGTCACAAGCGTGATATGTATTATTGCCTTGTTACCGCGAGCTAACTATGAATAGCTTAGGTACCTAAGGTAAGTGATATTAATAACGAATCTCTACTTTAATAATTATGTCCAATTATATCTATGGATATACGTATGTATAAGTTAATTACGTATATCTTAAAGCTTGGCTCTCAACGTTACTACTGTTACATTTAAAAGTTATTTATTTATCTTACGGTGAGCCTCAGCTCTGATACATACACGAGCTTATAAATTCTCTCAATACTCTTTCTTTCTCTCTTAATGGGCTACGTATAATTGATTCTCACATCTTACTAATAAAAAAAAGAAGAAAAAAGACGGGAATGATAATGCGAGGCTGAAAAAAAAAGGAAGAAAAAAAAAAGATACATGTGGCGGCGTCACAAAGCCGTCAAGGGGCATAAAAGGTCCGATACAAGCTAGGAGCTGTCATCGGCGCGATCAGAATTTGCCATTGGCCGCAGAGCCAATATACTTTTCCTCGCACCGTCATTAAGTGAAGTAAGACCATTTTCTCTATTCCGATTTGTTCGTTTGGGCATGTTCGCGTCAAAAGGCGGTCGGGAATAACTTGTAATGTTCTTGTCTCGTTTTGTCTTGTCTTGTCTTTCGCCGCGAGAAGAAAAAAAGGGAACCAAGCAGCCAAGGTGTGGGAGAGACGGATAGATAGGTACTGTAAGTTATCGCGTTTTCGCTACAATTTCCAAGGATATAAAATGCTAATTTGGTACAAAGCCCCACCACTCAATAACGTTGTTTATACACTACATAGTTGAAGGTTCTCGAATTTTAACTCGTGGGGCTTGTATAAAACTAACATCTCATATCCTTGAAGATTGTAACTAACGCTAGAAACAAGGAGGCGAAATCACCCAATGAGGCTCTAGAAAAGGTCCCACTCTGACGGGTCCGGCCCCAACAGATTCCCATGTGCTAGTGGAGAATAAAAAGACGGGTGACCGTTGCTTCGTCTATTCGTCTATTCGCCTAGTTTCATCGGCGTTAAGAGAAATGTCAAGCTGAGGCTGATTACATATTTATATGATTATCTTAAGTACCTAACCTACGCTTAAACTCCATGCGGTTAAATACTTCATTATCTACGCTAGATCTCTTTGCTAGCGTAGAACTCATACCATACCATAGCTTAATAATGTTCCTTAAATATTATATCAATGAGCAAGTTTCCATTCATTACTCTATCCCACTAATAAGTTCCAAAAAAACACAACAAGGTAGCACCTTGTATATAAAAATCTAGGCCGTAAACATGCAACTCCAAGAACCCTTCGAATACCCATATAATCTAACTATGTACCTAAGGTAATACCGGGTCGTCGTAATCGTTACCCATTTACCTTTGCCACCGTAATAGCTACTGAAGTGCCCACCTACATAGGTAATAAGTATGTACAAAGTTCCAACAAACCAAAAAAAAAAACCAGCCATCCCACCCATTCGAGCATGTATAAGCTCTTACAGGCATGCCTCCATTCGGCCAACCAGGTTCAACCTGGCTTCAATCTCACAAGTAAGTATGCAGTTGAATCACCATAAGCCATAAAAACGTTCAGCTACAATTCCCTCATACCCGCCTCATATGCCATGCCCAATATTGCCCCTTTTCCCTTTCCCTCTACTCGTTAGATCGTCAACGTTCCATTCAGCGGCAAATCTCTGCTGCTCCCACCGACGAATATCCCGTATTCGCCCGGCTGTAGATGCCACTTCTGCGCGACCACGTCCCAGACGCTAAGGTCGCGCCTCGTGAGGAGGAATGTAGCTGTGGCCTCCATTGTCACGTTGAGGAACGCCTTTTCGAAGCCACGTAGCTGACGTACCGGCGCGTTCGGGATCCCAACATAGAGCTGAGCGACCTCGCCGCCGTATACATCGCCCACATTCTTTATGTCCGCACTGATCGATGCTACAACATCCCAAAGATCTACCTGCCCACCCTGGCGGATGGCTCCCGTCGGATATTCATCTGTGTTAGCATCGTTGCTCTTTTCGATCCTTAAATTCGAGTAGTTGAACGTCGTGTAGCTCAGTCCGAAACCAAACTCGTATCGGGGTGTGATATTCTTCAGGTCGAAGTGTCGGTAATCAATATACACGCCTTCGGTGAAATTCGATTGAGGGAAACGCTCGAATTGACCCAGGGGTAAGTCTGGTTTGGCAACATGTTCATAATCAGACTCGTTCTTGGCTACCGTGTACGGTAACTTGCCCGACGGGTTCGACTCTCCATATAACAAGGAGACGAGAGCACGGCCAGACGCCTCACCAGGTAGGTGCGCGAACATCAAAGCCGTTACGTTCGGGTGATCGATCCACTGATCCACCAACCGGACGCCGGCATTATGAAAGATGACGATCGTATTATTGCACCGATCCGCCACATGTCGAATCAAGCCGTCGGTATAATCATCCCGTAAGTTCGGACGATCGTACCCTTCGCTTGCAAACGCATTGACAATAACGAGACATGCATCCGACGTGCTAGCAACATCCGGATCGGGACTAAAGAAGTCCCAAAATACAGCCGTCCGATCATCCCACGCGCGAGCGTTGAGAGCGTCGTACGGCGAGCTAACGAAAGCTGGCGTTACGGCACCGGAACCACCACCACAGAACAGCGTCCCATTAGGAGCAATGTCCGAAAAATCTTCATAGTAATGGCCCGAGAAACCGGCACTTGTGTCGCGCCCAAGATAGGATGATTCACCTCCAAAAGTCCATGCGGCAACGCCGCCGTTAGATTTGTAGTTCCACTGATCGGGGCTCTTTGCCGAGTAACCGAATACCGAGAGCATTCTCGGTTTACTCAATGGAAGTGCGTTCTTGATATTCTTGACTAAAACGTGACCTTCAATAGCACCATCCAGTAGAACTTTCTGAGACGAGATGTTTCTCGCGTCGACGATGTCGTGCGGCTGGGTTAGGTCTACAGGCATACCAATTCCCGGCTCTGGGAAGTCCTTGTCCTGTCCTACCTGATAGTACCCAGCCATGATTCGCGTTGCCATGTCATCTAGGCGATCCTCAGAAACTGATCCATTTCTAACTGCCTCTGTTAGCTTGTCTCCCCAGAGCTTCGAATTTGGCATGACCATGTCCATTCCAGAGTTGGCCGATGCAACACCAGCATGAAGAGCATCCCAGTCCGAAGTAATGGCTCCCTGGAATCCCAGCTCCGTTTTGAGGAGGCCGTTTTGGGTTTTGCTGTTCGCGCAAGCGTAAGAGTTGTTCACTCGGTTGTACGAGCACATTACGTTCGCAGTCCCGGCCTTGACAGCATCTTGGAATGGCCTATAATTAAGTTAACTGGTGTAGCATAGAAGGAGGGTTTATCCTATCAAATTACCATAAATACAGCTCGTGTATAGTCTTATCGTCAATGTTAGATGAGACGGATTCGGTGTCACCAGTAGGCTGTCGGTTCGTCTCTTGTTCGTTGCCGATGAAATGCTGTGCGCCGAATAAGTGGGAGTCCTCTGGTAGTCAAGGGTACTTCATACCTTGGTACTTGTGATGACCCCCTGCGACTGAATTCCCGTTACTGTCTCTGATACAAGGCTGCCGGTGAGATAGGGGTCAGGAGAAAAGCCTTCCCAATTGCGTCCGCCACGTAGTACGCGTCCGATAGGACCAACAACGGGTCCGAGGTGGATATTGACGCCCTTGACTCTAAACTCAAGGCCCATGCTCTCCGCACGGTCTCGAGCCAAACCCTTGTTCCAACTGGCAGCAACATGGAGACCGCTCGGAAAACCACTGACAAAGTCCGTAGCTCTGACACCCTGGCCGGCATCGTTCAGACAGAAGCCCGAGAAGTTCATACGGGGAATAGCGTCAATGTTGCCAGAGCAGCCGTTTAATGTTCCCGAGCTGCCCGTAGAAGAGGAGAGTCCCGATGCAAGGGTTACCTGGCATTTGATTAGCCATACGTGCTAGGTTTAGTAGCTGACAAAATACCTTCTCCTCGATTGTAAGCTGCCCAACAAAGTTGAGAGCTTTTTTATATGCATCGGCCCAAGCGCCAACTCCCGTCATCGCGGCTAGTCGTCATATTAGATACTCCATCTAGCGCATGATAAACCAGAATTTTATTATGAGTATACTCACGAGAGGGGTATACCGGCTCGGACTGGCCGTAGAAATAAGTATCATCGGTGATAAGAGCTTGGCCGCTAGACGCCACAGCAGCCCCGTTACCACTATCGCCATGTTGATTTCGCAGGGCGAGAAGTCCTAAGAGACCGAATAAAGGCAATATCATGAGACCAACAACGAGTGCGACACCACGCTTCTTCTGCAGTATAGGAAACCGCTGCTGCATTCTAGTCCACCATGAGGTCTGGTCCAGGGGCACTACATGGCCCTGCGACAGTGGTTGGCGTTCCTGCTTTATTTCTCCCATTGTATACTCGATTAATTATCCGTCATCTGGTGAGGGTGTATTACAAACACAGCCAATTCTAGAGCCGTACAAGAGGTAGCTCGTCATATACACTCCTTTTCGGGAAGATTAGTCAAAAACTAGGTAATTTTGCGAAGACCTATTATTCGCAAATGTAAAAAGGAGGATTAACTCTTCAAAGGACCATTGCCCTCGATATATAACTCAGACTCAAGGCGAATGGCCCTATGTCGGAGTTCTCTCAACTCTAATATCGGACGTCTATTTCGCGAACCGAGCTTTGGAACGAGAAAAATAACAAAACTGGTACAATGAGCTCTAACGAACAGGCGAATGCGACGTTCAATAAAAAAACAACGGGGTATTTATTAAATATTATCAATTCCGTGGTCGGAAGTGCATCCGAACAACAAGCGAATGTGTAGTTAAGTAGGGATTTCGAATTCTTAAGGTTGCATGCGCTCTCTCTTCGGCCACAAGTTGGGTTATACTCGGTTTACTATGGTTATCTGACGATCGTTCGTTGAACAACAGGCTGATGTCAATACGGATGGAAGAGCATAGCAACCCGTTTTACTTGTTGTTTTCCTTATTTTCCTTGTTGCCGGGTTGATCATTTATTTGGAGATGTTTGGAACTTCCCTGATTGGTCAATCGTCTTATATGGTTAATTACGTCTTAAGACATACGAGTTCGTTGGGCAGGTACCATCGCTCATCGCTCATCGCTTAACGCTTAATGGAATCGACGACTAGACCCTGACTAACTCATTTCGGCATTGGGAATTGCGCTCCCCCCCCACGTGTTATAACCTTAGCCAAGCTGTCAGGTGCCTGCTGTTAGGTGCCTTATGCCGCGCGAATGAATTCCGCACATGGAAACCTGCCTCAAGCTGCATATTGATCTGCATTCGATCGTTACAGGCATATCAACGTTTAAAAATATTCGTAAATTTCTTATAACCAAGGATACGAACTATACGAAGTTGTTAAAGCAACGAGTAAAAATAGTAAGAACTAAACTGATGATTTTCGGTAGTTAGTTATATTAAAATAAAAGCTTCACTTACGTGTATGATATATAGACTTATCTGAGCTATTAAGAAGCCGCATTTCATATTTCACGTGTACATAAAGTACTACCAAGAGGTACGTACTGCATTATTAGATTCCGGCCAAGTTTATGGATTACGGAGACTCTAAATAAGGTCCGCCGCCGCGAACCATGATCGTGAAACAAGTTTGTGTGCCACTAAGAACTGTCTATATGCACGATTCCGGAACCTAGGTGGGTTAGGTACGCATATTTTCACCTTTAACCTAGGCCTTATCTTTCTTATAAAGGACTTCTCGAGTCTTCATTGACACCACTTCACATCTTTTTTTAATACGAACTTCGATTTGCGCTTCTGCTCCAACTCCGGCTTCAACTAATGCTTAATATTTTGATCTACTATTCGATCCACCTAAATCTAACTGTATATACGAGTAATGGCTATCATGCCAAACTTCTTCCCCCTCGCTAATAAGTCTGCAAAAAAGTAACCTCCAACTCGAAAAAAAAACAACGTGGTATCCAGTGTCATAACTAAAGGAATCGTATCAATCAGGGAGAGTTTGTAATCGTCCAATGCAGATATAACGCCGACCCAAGAGAACGCCCAGTGGGTTGCTATTCGTATCAATTCCGCTCGGTGGTGCCCTCGGGAATGTCTATTCGCAACGTCGCAATCTACATTATTGACGAATAGAGGAACCGTCTGATCCGATTACGCAAACGTCCTCTTGGCCAGCCAATAATTGAAGTAAATCTCGGTCTATGGTAACGGGCCGTGGGCCGCAACGCGTTCGCGATGGTAATGGTAATGGTGATGGTGATGGTGATGGTGGTGATGGCATTACACTGCGGAGACCGGGCCGCATCGTGACATCGTAAGTAGTAATCGTACGGCTATGTAAACAAGCGCGGAATAGGTGCTATATACTTCGGAAAGTTCAGTCGGACTGCTACCCCATGCCTCGCAATACGATACAGCGAAATCGCTAGCCAACCCAGTGACCACTGGGAACTTGTGGTATGGCCAGTTTCGGTTTCGCGAAGGAAGATTCGGATATACAGAAGCAGGCGACTCACAGTATCAACTGCTTCAGATTGCGCTGGATGATCATGTCCTGCACTGAGCCCATTGTGATTTTAAGCAAGTTTGTATCCGTCGCGTTGGTAAAATGACCATAAATTTCCTTCTCCGGGTTCCGGTTCAGAGCCCTAAACTTATCCATGAAGTACTTGCTTGCTTGCTTGTAATCGTCCGCCGGACCTTGGTAGTCGACAAAGCCATGTGACGTTATAGGACTCGACGCGATCTTCTCCTTGAAGAGATCCATCTTATTAAGGAAGAGGATAAGGGCCGACTTGGTAAACCAATGCGAGTTTGCAATGGATTCCCAAAGCATCAAGGCTTCGTTCATTTGATTCTATAATCGCATCTGTCAGCAAACTTACTACAATAGCAATTGAAGTCTTAAGGGATAGCTTGTACTTACGCCGTCCTTATCTTCAACCAGACATTGATCGTAACCGCTGATCGCGACTAGGAATAGTAGAACATTGACATTCTCGAAACAATGAATCCACTTCTTCCGCTCGGATCTTTGACCGCCCACGTCGAACATTCGGTATGTCAACTGGCCCAGATCGAAGATGGTCTCGGTAATGCCTGTCGTCCTCAAACGTGATCGCAGCAGATCTTGGTCGGTGGGGATATATTCAGCAGCCCAGAGGCGGTCCGCATCTTCGCAGAAGCTTTTAATACGTGTTAGCAAGGTCATGTCAACGGTGTCAACGGACGCACTATGATAGATTGTCGTGGAGAGCATATTCGTTGCCCTTTTGGATGGCCTTTTGTACTCCATTGTCGTTCCAAAGGGCTTTGACCGGCTCAAGGTATTCTTGGGGAAGTGAATCGTGAGGCGAAATTTCAACGTCAACAAGGAGTAATGCTTGATTTTTCTGACAATAACACGACATTAGTAATCGATGTTTACAATAACATCTCATTGCGATGACCTCGTCTCAGAAGACCCCGGTGAAATATTATTGCGCATTCGAAATAAGTATATGCATCACATACCTCGTTGTCTTTGTTTTCAAATTCGATGGAATAATCGGCCATGGCATCGAATATTATGCGCATCGACTGGATGACATTGCTGAATACGACAGGCTTCCACTCTAACTTTTCCGTTTTGCTAAAACCTTGCGCGTAAATCAACTTCATCTGCTTGAGCACAGTTGACTTTCCCGACTCGCCGGCACCTATTAAAAAGTCCCGAAGTTAGCTGCGGTGTCCCGCTAGCCGAGACACGAATACTGGCGATTTCCAAGGAGAGACACTAGGTACGTACCTAAAAGAAGTAACTTGACCTCTCGTGCCATGCGCTTTTCATCTTGTCGAATAATCTTGTCGAGCTCTCGTGACCGAGTATTGCCCTCCTCATCCTTCTTGCGACTGCCGAAACACATGATGAATAAGGCTTACACGTGTACGTGTGTGTATACGTGCGTGTATATGTGTGTGTCGAGAGTATTATCTGATCTTAGGAATACGTAGTGGGTAGTCGCGTATTCATGCGGAAAGGCGAAAGGAAAACGGAATCTTGCGTAATATACAAGAGAGCCTCACAGCGACTATGAATTATACACAGCCCTGTGAGAAGATGAAAAAGAAAAGGAGAAAAATTGGATGACGACTACAGAAACACAGCTTCGTGATGGTGTGGTAAGGCTAGCTCGGGGCTTGAATGAAACGGCTCAGTGATAGCCTGTGGGGGCTTGAGCTGACGGCGCAAATCCAGCTCGCAGTCGGTTTACGATCTAGAAGTAATCCGGCGGGAATATCGAAACGTTATTACAACTTAAGGAGCTTTTTTTTCGCGCCTTTAAGGGCTCTCCCTATAGCTCAATGGGAAGATGGAACAAAGAAAATTTGGATAGCAAGCTGGGCTGGCTGGCTGGTTGGTTGGTTATGTCGGTAGTTTTTGTTGCTTCGAGTCTCCGGGGATGATCAGACCAAGAAATGAGAATCCTTGTCGAGTAGCCAGGGTATGGAAGGAGGCTCGAGCGAACTCGAGAAAGAAGGGGGAAGAAAGAGACGGGAAAGCTTCCAATAATAAAAATATCGAAGGGTAGGACCTGAGTGATAAATAATACCGCCTGTCAGCAAGATATGTCAGTATTCTTTTTTTTTTCTTACTACAGCATCCGCCCTTGTTCTCCAGTTCAGGCGGGCTACATGTATGTTTGTATGTATGTTGTACTTCTTGACCAGGACCAATAAGCGGAAAAGGAGGGGGGTAAGAAACCAGAAATTGGCGAAGAGAGATAGGAGTAGGAGTCATATGTATGTGTAGGTATGTACATAGAGTAGTACCGTATTATATGTATTGATTCATAAATATTCCATCCACGTACCTTTTAAAATTTCGAGGATTTTAGATAGTTATCAGTAAATTCGCACCAACATTGAAATAAATAAACCTATACCAATACAGTTCAAAAATACCAATAGTTAAATTTCTTATTATACTCGGGGTTTTAACTCTGATTAAATATCGTAATTCTGCGGGTATAATTCTGCGGGTATATCAATGAAAGGAAAGACAATAATACTGTCCAATAGGATATGAGATGACGGCTCGCGTAGGCGATGATGGAAGCTTAAAAAGAGACTTGTAGAAGTAATTTGCTACTAATATCGATGGCTGCTTATTTAGCGTCGAACTTCAATTGTTGAAAATGATGCTAGCAGCTAGATAGGTACCTTTGCCGGTTTGCTGGGCAGTTTCGAATAGGAGTGTACCTTGCAGAGTGGAGTTGAAAGTCCTCGAAACGCAAGTTGGGGCTAATTCAAGGTCCTCTTTCCAGGGATAGGTTGATTAAATTTGTGTAGTGAGCAACCAACTGGAGCTACCTATCCACCATGGGAATCTCCTTGAAGAAGATACGACGACGTACGCAAAAAGGTACCTTCCTTCGTATATCTTGTACAACCAATATACATATATACATGTATGGGCAAGCCTGACCTTACACAACCACGCGACTACCTAACGTACCCCCCATCTCATACTTAGCACCTGTTTTATGTATCTACACTAATAACCTACATATGTTAAATACATATCCATATATACCGTATCAATGTATTTACACATTTACACTGGGCACTTAGTAGCCAAGTCTCGTTAAGTAACGTACAGTTGAAAATTGCAACCTTCTTCTTACTGATATATATTCGTATACAATATCTGGGTTTGTGACCATAAAGTGTACTAACAGCGATGAAGACATGGAGTCGGGACGACGGATATTAAGGTTGGTTTAGACCGCTAGACATGACATTTAATTAGGTTAGTACCTAGCATCCGAATCGTTACTTAGGTACATCATAGCTTTTAAGTAATCTTAAAGCCGAGCCGACGATGAACTAATACTTTTACAGTTTCTCTATTTTCTCCATCTCTTAAACAGAGACAACATAAAAGCCATGTTCGGCAAAAAAAAAAAAGAAAAGCATTTTAAGACTAATAAATACTATAGTGTAAGTAAGACAAGTTACGACTACACTAATCAAGCGATACAGCGGGACTATTACACATGCGTACAGACGTACATAGGTTCCATAGATCTTTCTCTCAAACTCCGCAACGAACACGCCATACTCGGATGCAAGGATCAAGGAATAAGCGTAGGGACGTAGGGAGAACAGGGAGAGAGAACAGTGAGAACAGGCGCCGCACGTAGGGTTCGCAACCCGAGACGCTACTATTTCTATTATAATTGTACTAAACCAAGTACCAACGCAGCCAAGAACAATATTATTCTCTGGTTGGTTCATTTATATGCATGCAACGCGTGCGAGTACTTATATTAGCACAGATTACGGATTATGGTAGCATCACCACTACTCTCGTCGATTCCATACACCCACGCTAAATCAAACATCAGCCAGTGGCTATGTATGTTGATGTATGCGATGTATGCGATATATGCGCTGCCTGCGATGGGTGTCATCAATCTCGATTGGTGTGAGTGCCACTTCCCAATGCCATGTGCCGTCAGCCTCTCAAGGTTACTCGCCTAATAGCCGGACCGTCGTCCATCACTGCCCTGCAACCTTAAGTATGCTGCTGTCACGTTGGCTGCACTTGACGATACATAAGAAGAAGAGCTCGCAGCTCGATTTATGGATACCGGCTTGCCTGGATTCCGGAGATATTGCTACCACCTGAGGAACGTCTGAGGAAGACGCAACCCTAATGTCAGTATGATACTCATTAATAACATAATACAGTTCTTAGTAGATCAGTATGCTGATGGCTGATTCATTCAGCTACATACACACGTACGTAATACATAAAAACATTAGTACCCATTTAACATGAGGCGAGTCATCAATGTTCCGTTAGGAGGAACTGATCAGTAATTACCGGGCGTAACATGGGCCTCGGTACATAACGCGCTCCAGACGATACCTACACCTACACACTACATACGTATTTACGTATTTATGAGCGAATGGCGGTTTTCCGAATCTCCCACGCTCCCATGCTTCTCCCATGCTCTTCCATGCTTACAATTTATCTGCAGCATTCATGCCCACCAATCGGCACCAACCCCCCTTCTAATTCGATTTGAGGTATCCAATGCTTAACGGTTAGCTGTTGATCCGGACTGGGGCTTAGTCGGACAACCTAAGAGCATTTAAGTTACATACATGCAACTAGTATGTCAACACCCGCATGTCATCTGAAGAGAAACAAGTGAGAAAAACGTGGCGAGAAGTGGAGCACACACAAGCATCTACAATACAAGCAGCGTCCATTCCAACAATCCGATGAGGAATAGCTCCATAGACCTGTGTCACCCTTAATCTAGGACATGCTGGATATGCTTGACATGGAACCGATGTCTTTAAAAGCCCACAAGTCTTCCTTCCGCGCGATGCGGGTGGGAAATTTTTGAATGATCGACAATACTAACATCCATCCTAACCATAAGACTATAAGCTTAGCTTCCGTGCTACGACAATGCATAGACTTCGACATTATAACTAGTAAATAACATCATGAACCATCAATCAGCTTTGAAATTACCATGCTCTACGTCCTATCAGCCAGGTCTACGAGGCTATAAATTTATACATAAAATACCTAGCAAGTCGCTTAAAGGATTTTACCAGAAGGATCTAATCTACTACCTACATATACGTATGCAACAGCGAGGCTCGGTGGATCTTCCAGTTACTATCGTTAGCCAACCGTATAAGCAAAACTTATGGTCCCGACATTTGAGCTTCTCCATCGTGGGGTGTATATTTCGAGATACTCTTAACGGGAGCCTGACCGAAAAGGAATTTATACCAAGTCAAATCCGTCATCAGAAAATGTGACCCCGCGTCTTCGAGCCAACCATCTACATCCTAATAAGGAAATATCAAGATACTGCATATACAACTTGACACATTTGACGCCTTGCAGCCCAGCGTAATTGGCTCCGAGCTACTACGAGAATCTGGAATTAACGGTGAACATTTCCACGGCCTTCTGGTAAGCCGGAAGGTTTCATGATTGTCTTACATGACTATATACAACCTCCTATAACATATTGTATTAGCTACTGTGGTCTCACGGCTGTCTCTCTTTGTACCGTCATCTCACCGAAGATGATAAAAACCAAAGAGATCTCCAAGCCACATCCCCCAAGTCGACGAATGAGGAGACACTGTCATCTCACCCCGAAAACAACCCACCGCCACTACGACGATAACCTACTCGCGAAGGATTCAAGCCTTGCCCTCCTCCACCACCGTATGTATACCAGGAGTACCTATCGTGGCTATTATTGGCCAAGGACTCCGCGCGAAGTTACCGTAGTGGCCCCCAGGATATCGAGTAGTGCCACACTCCCGCATACCAACCATCGTCTCCAAATACGACCATCCTTATGGTTGAGATAGCACAGGTCAGAAGAGTCTGGGATCATCCAATGGTCTTTTTCGGCCCGTCAAGGTCTCCTCAGGGCCAGGGTTGATCCTGTAGGAGACCCAAAGCAATAAAGCTGTTAGGCTAGAAATAACAGGTATACGATGGCATCAGATTTACAAATGCACCGGCGGAAAATGTAACTTGACAAAATAGAGTTGCGCCATCTCCCGCACGTCTGTGCGTGAAATCTCCATGGGATCTCGAGCAGGCTGCGAGCGAGCGGATCCAAAAAAGCCCAGCCCGGGAGTTAGCGGGGCCTGGCTGGTCCATCCAACGGACCCCAACGGCATTACGGCATACCCAGTCGATCGCTTGCTCGCTTGCTTTAACTACCTTCCGCTATAGTAGGCATTGTACGAGGAACGAAAGGTAGGGAAATGTCATTGATATGTAAAACATGCTGGCCCTAGCGGTGGCCAACTGATTTGCAGCGTCTGTCTCGTCTTTAAACTACTGTCTACTGTCTACTGTGTAGCCAGCCTAAGATGATGTATGTAAGCTTACGGTCCCCTCCACGCGATAGCCAAGATTATCGCGTAGGGGAGGATTTTCCCCCAGAGGACGCTAATGATACGGCACGGCACGGCACTGGTGCTGGCGCTGGCGTTGAATAGGAATAATACCTAGTATATCCCTAGTATATCTAACCTACCGCTGCTACTGCTACTACTGCTACTACTACTAAGCACTTAGTCGCACACCCATATGCAAATATTAGGTAGTTGACACATCGTTGACACATCGATGCACTGCATACGGGCAAAAGCAGTGGCCTTATAATATATCGCCCGACCCACACGCCACGAGGGAGCCCGGTGGCGTTCGCGACGGAGACATTATAAAATGCCTTACCGCAAGGCGAAATAAAGAAGACGAGAGGTACCTATGTATGTAGATAGGTACCTACGTCTTACTTGTATACGATGATGATGATGATGATAATGATGTAGGTGCTCGATCACCATGTATAGGCGGCTAAGCGCCCGTCCGCCGTGCAGGATCGACGGCGATACAACTTACCCGCTCGCCTAGCAGCTAGCGAGCTAGGTAAGCTACCTACCTCCCCCAGCTACCTTAACCTACCTAGCTAAACTTCCTGGCTGCCTGCCCGCCTGCCATACATACATACCCACCTGCATACCGACGCCCCGGGCTGCCTGTTGCTTGTTCTGCTTAGTACGCATCGTCCAGGGTTCCCTGGACCTTGCTATAATGTAGGTACCTACCTTATATAGTACATCTAGGTCGGGTTAGGGTTAGGTATGGACCGACGTACGCCGACATAGATCCCAGGCGTGTATATGCGATCTTATCGTATATGATAGATAGATAGATAGATAGATGAGTACCTAATGTATCGACTGAGCCATGATCTTGGGTATTAACGGGCGGATTTAAGCGCCGGGGAAAGGGCAGGGGTGGTGCGTAGGTGATATATATAGGTATAGGTAGGTATATGTGGGATACGTAATAGATATTAGATATAGATATAGATATATATATACCGCGCAGTAGCTTGGTAAATTACAATACGACTGACTGACTGCCTTCTCGCCATTGAAGCCTTACGTACGACCTGTCGTAGTGCGTGCGTGGTGCGTGGCGCGTGGTGTCGTGATGTAGCATGTTCGATTCCGTTCTGTGGCATTATGTTCTGTTGTATCACTGCTTCCCACGTTGAAAGTCAAGGGACGTGTTGTGTAGCCCAGCCTGCCTCAGCTGAAAGCGAGCTTTGTTGATGTACATACAATGCAGGTGTACATACATACATACCTACTTAGGTATATATACAGTAGCTACCATCCCTACCTAACCTAATCTATGTAGGCTAGATAGGTAGGTATCGTGCTACTGTTAAGTGCGTTCTAGACTTCTCCTCGTTACCTACCTATGTGCCTGGAATAAGGGATATATATATCAGTGGAAATTGCCGTGCTGCCCTTGCGGCATGTTATGTTAAAGCCATAGGTTAGGTAGGTTAGGTTAGGTAGTTTACCCGTTATTTTACATAGACAGATAGGTACCTGCTAGCTTGCTTGGGGTGTCTGCTAGTTTATGATATATCACTTTCATGCTTCCCTGCATATATGTGTTTGTGTTTCGTTACGGGATAGGGATGGGATATGTCAGTAATATTGTCAGAACAAGATCGATTCTTGGATTCTCAACTCATTGAGAGCCTAGATTAAATAGGCAATTACAACACTTGTCGTACACTTGTGGAATATTTCACAAGGGGTTTAAAGCAATATCATGGTTTGATTTGGATTTCGCCTTTTAGAGCCCTCTAGATAAGGAATAAATAGGAGGTATAAAATCAGCAACAGACCATACTGAAAATAAATATTCAGCGAACATTCATAAAAGTCTTCATTAGTTGGTCATAAGCCAGTCTATTCATTATCAACGGCTACCTATGGGCTCTTTAAGGCCCAAACATATGACTCGTGAGGCATTGAATCATTTCATAACCTTCATCGTCCGGACCATTCGGTATCGTAGCCCAGCCCATCCAACCACCATTTTTACTTTTCACCACGCTCTAGCGCATCTATTGGAGAGCCTTCGCGGCAAAAGTAGGCAGAACAAAGCTGGCCTTGTGGATCTCAGCATTGTAGTACTTGCACAGACGCTCCTCTTCCTCAGGGGTCCAGGATCGTAGGGGCTTCTTAACGTCGCGGCCCTCCTCCTTGCAGCACACCATGAAGCCGATCTGGCCTGACGGGTACGTCGGGATGGTGGTGTACGCGTACTCGGCTACGGGGAACACCTCGTTGCAGTCCTTCTTCAGCTTGGCGATGAGCGGTAGGTGGAGCCACTGGTTCTCAGCTGTGATACAAGGAAAGAGTTAGCGAAATATGTTTGTGGGAAAAACTAGGGGGTGAATTCTAGAAAAGAAAAAAAGCAAACGGGTGGGTAGGGGGAGGAAATAGGAAATTGGACGCGGATCTTAGCGTAATAAAAGACCCGAGCTAGAAGATAAGGGGGGTATTTGGGTGTTGGGGGGAGGGAGAAGGGGAGGACGGGGGGAGACGGAGAGGCGAGAGAGAGATTTTGATGAGATAGCTCAGCAGCAGCAGAGCCCACCACGGTCGACCCTTCGTAGGAAGAAATTAGAGTTGTTTAAGAACAACCAGGCAACTTAAGTTCAGTGCCATTTGACCCGTCGCCACACTCTCGAACTTGTTTGCTTTGCCTGATATAAAGGAGACGTACAACCTTGGGTGGTGATGACGCCGCCGGGTCGGAGAGCACCGTGCAGCAACTGGAAGTATGACTTCTGGAAGAGGCTCTCGGCGGGACCCTCGGGGTCCGACGAGTCTGTGATGATTACGTCGAAGGCGTTTTTGTAATCGTCTAGGAACTTGAAGCCGTCCCCGACGTGCACCTTCACCTTGGGGTGCTTGAAACCTTCAGCCATACCGGGTAGGTATTGCTTGGAGAGACGGATGACGGCCTTGATTTCACGTATGGTTAGTTATGGGTATCCCAATCATAGTATTCGTGAGTGCTAGAATTAGCAGTGAAATAATACCTCGTCGATATCGCAGAGGACAGCTTCCTCGATACACTCGTGCTTGACAACCTCTCGCAGGACACCTCCGTCACCGCCGCCGATGACTAGCACCTTCTTGGGGTCGGGGTGGGAGTTCATAGCCAAGTGAGTGATCATCTCCTGGTAGGAGAACTCATCGCGCTCGGTGCACTGGATGACGTTGTCCAGAACCAAGACGGTGCCATAGTTGGTGGACTCGAAGATGAGCACATCCTGGTACTTGCTCTTCTCGTGGTGGAGAACCTTCTTCACCTTCAGAGTCATGGCTTGGCCTATAATGAAAACCCGAGATCCATATTAGAACAAGTGACTAGAAGGGAAGGAAGGTTTGTCGCCTTCACTCACCGGGCCACATCTCAGAGATTTCTCTGAACCAGCCATCTGCAAGATAGTTAGCAAAAGATACACTTAATTAGATTTATATTGTAAGTATTAAGACAGTGAATTATAAAGGATAGTCATAAGATTAGGTCGTGTATATAATATATACGGTACCTATCTGTACGTTAAAGTGTAGATATCGTGAACCTCAGATATGTTGCACAATCGCGATCACACGATAAGAAAAAAAAGGAGGGGGGGGGGCAGAAGGGTTCCGGTTTATGATTGGCATGTGAATAACGTCAACTAGTCGAGCAAATAGGGAACTAAGTTGATATAGTCTCATTGGATTGGTATAAACGGCATGTCCATGGTAAGAGAAATATAAAATGAGATAGAAATCTGCCTTTTGCATCACTCATAGTGTATCGTTTGCAACTTAGGTAACTTACCCTTGATGGTAGCGTGTGTGATCTCCTCAGAAGACATCTTGGACTGCGCAAAAGTCGAATAGTAATACCGTTGGCGGGACGGGGGAAAAGATATATCACAATGACAACGGCGAAGTTCGATATTTAAATATAAACAATCGAAAACCGGCCTTATAGTCCTTTTCTTTTTATCGTAGGACGAAAACTGCAATTGTCGAATCAACTTGTACGGCGAAAATATTTGCCTTCTCCAGACCATCAAAAATGAAAATTTTCTGCGGTGAGATGGAAAAAAAAAACAAAAAAAAAACAGGTACCTATCTGTGATACATACCTAAAGTACCTCTTACACACATGGGTATCGAAACGTTACTGCCCGCTAAAGTATGATATACTTTAGAGTACCTTCTTTCCATACTGTGATAGGGCGATTGTTTCGACTAGCACGTTGTATATGTACATGCACGTAACCTGTTCGTCTGCGCTGCACGAAATGCATCATATGTATGCGGCTAATATTTTAAAACCTTCGGTAACAAGCCTAACTAACCTAAACTTCTTAGCCCTTATTCCCTCTTCGTTGGGCGGAAACAAGTTATTAAAATCATCGTTGGGCAGCAGTTCCTAAACGACTAGTCACTTAACCTAGTACTACCTATGAATATCCTCCGATGCTGTGACATCGTCATAAAATCCACCTGTTTCAAGAGTGCTATCTCACAATTACAATTACATTACAATTACAATTATACCAGGTACCTAACATACCTGAGACACCTAGAAACAAAATAACAAGCAGGTAAAGAAACAATCACGACGCAACGTACATTAAAAACCTGAAGCCAGGTAAACATCAACTGGTAAAAGCAATCATTTTTGCTTGATTAATACACACGCCTAGAAATATGTGTGACGCAGTGCCTCCTATAACTTGAGGAATCCCGAATGCTTTTTCAATCCTCGTCACAAGCACCAAAAAACAGTGCCAATACAAATGCTGGACTCTGCCTAATATACCCCCCTTTTTTCACCATGTACGCCCATTTATTAAGTCATTTCGAATGAAGACAAATTCATTACCGGTCCCTTTCCATACCTAGTAGCAATCTTCTACTTTTTGTTCGCGCTCTTGTTTGCTTCCAATATACCCGCCAGCTGCTGCGCAGACTCTGGCTTTTTGACCTGCAGAACCCACGTTTCGAGACCAGATCCCTCGTCGTTTGCTGCCACAAAGTTGACCGTCTTCTCTTTGGCTTTATATTCGATATCTGAGAGGATGGCTTTATTCATCGCGATGTGGCCTCTCGGCTCGGCACGTAGTAACACACGGACGGTCCCGCTCGTCTTGTTCTTAAGAACACGTAGCGGTCCCACTCCCTGAGTTGACCATGGTGACTTCCTTTCCTCTTCATCGTCGCTGCCTTTAACTATAGGCACGAACTTGATAGCCTTGGCACGCACTTCGTGCAAGATCATCTCGTCCTCCTCACCTGGTCCACCAGTGATGAGTGATATCTGCTCTTGTGGAGCTTCTTCGTCATCGTGCTGAGTCTGTGGCTCTGGTGTGCCGTTCACTGGAGTTGTACCTATGCTAGAGGGTGCAGGAAATGGTGAGTCTAAGCCTGTCAGTATATCATGTATACTTTGGTTATGAAAGTACTTACTGGTACCTGTAAAGTCACCGCCAGCCTGCAAGAAGCTCCCGGTACCTGAAAAAGACGATGTCGGTTTGGGGGCAAATGGATTCGAGATGTTCTGGTTTGGCGTTGCTTGAGTGAAGCTGAAGCTGGGGGCCCCGTTGGCCCCGTTGCCCCCATTAGAGGATCCTCCAAAGAGAGAGGCTCCCTGGTTAGCTGGAGCCGGGTTAGGCGTAGATGGTGCTTGTTGGCCAAAACCGAAGGTAAAGGAGGAGGATGGATTTGGTGTCGATGGCTGGGCACCAAACATAGGCGCTGCCGGCGGTGGTGCGCTCGAGGCAAAAGGGTTATTGAACGATTGTCCATTTCCCCCAGCGGAAAAGGTGAAACCGGAGCCGGGAGCAGCTGAAGTATCCTGGCCAAAAGTGAACGATGATGAACCGGTTGTGGGAGCTCCGAACTGAAGGTCAGGCTTCTTCAACTCGGTGTTGTTGGACTGGCTGCTATTGGTACTCGCACCGAATATCATCGCTGGCGCAGGTTGTGTGTTGCTGGGAGCTGGGGATTGGGCTCCAAAAGTGAACGAGGCCGCCTTAGGGGGGGCACTATTGAAAAGGCTTGACGAATTCGAGGTCGTAGGTTCTGCCTTCTTCTCGGTAGGGGCTGGGTTGGAGTTGAATGGATTACTCGTAGTTGAAGTATTTCCAAACAACGAGGATGCTGTTGTCGTGGCGGGTTTCTTTTCTGCGGGCGTTGCCTCACCGTTCTTAGCGCCAAAAATATTTGTCGAGGGGGCCGGATTACCTCCAAACAGCGAAGCTCCCATTGTGGTAGTTGGCTTAGGTACATCAGAGCCGAATAATGATTTAGACGTAGGCGTAGTAGGTGTAGTCTCTGGGTTTGAGGCACCGAATGTAAAGCTTGCTGATTGTGGCTTGCTTGAAGTATCGAATAAAGACTTTGCGGTATCAGAACCATTGGTTTTGGTATCACCCGCGCTAAATGATGCCGAACTCGAAGAGCCACCGAACAAGTTTGATGCAGGTGCCTTTGCAGTGTTTCCGAACAGCGATTGGCCGTTAGGGGCCCCATTCGTTTGGGATTCAGTTGCCTTCACGCTACTGTCAAATAATGATACGGCCTGGGATGGAGTAGTCGTGCTGGTTGAAGCACCGAAAAGAGACGTGGGCTTTTTGGAGGTTGAAGGTGTCTCGCTAACTTTTGACTCCAGAACGACATCTGGATTACCCTTCTGCTGCTCTTTAGCAGTTGAAGAACTGGTCTCATTTGCTTTCGCGGCATCACCAAATAATGATTTAGTAGGAGCCGGGCTGAACAAACTAGAGGTTGGGGTAGACTTCTGTGCCGAGAAGAGAGAGCTGGCAGTGCCGTTGGGCTTCATTGGAGATGAAACAGACGACGTGGTAGACGCGCCGAAGAGCGATGCTGTGCTTGGCTGGAAAGCTGGGTTGGCCGGAGCACTGGCTCCAAAGAGGGATGCTGTCGATTTTGCTACCTTTGCAGCTTCTGGCTTGCTTGATTCGTTGGTGGATTCTAGGTGAGAAACTGTTGCTGGAGGCTTGGTAGCACTGGATGACGGTGGGCCGAAGGATATCGGGGTTGTTGACGCATTGAACGTAAAGTCACCCGGTTGCTTAGCAGGAGTCTTGCTCTGTTCTTTTTCAACGATAGGCTGCTTAACTGGAACAATATCGCTTTCCTCTTCTTCATCAGCTGTAGCTCGAAGCGGTTGTCCATTAGACCCCATTTGAACTCGACCGAAGAGACCTCCTTTCGAAGTGAGATCGCTAGACTTGGTCAGGCCACCGAAGAGATTGGAAGCGGCAGTGGTGTTACTGCTGGAAAATAGAGCTGATCCGCTCTGGGCAGAAGGGGTGTTTGTGCCGGCACTACTAGCAACACTGGGCTGGGCACTCTGTGATGCCTCTTGGCTATCCGCTGCTTCTTCTTCCCCTTCCGATTCGGTCTCAGTATCGCCGCCATCAACATTGCCATTCTCATTGCCGCTACTATTCGCAGAACTTTCGGATAAGTAGCTGAATATGTTACTAGTGGTTTTGGCTGGTACTGACCCAACCTTATGTTCGGTAAGTACTGACCCAGCGGTGCTACTCTCTTCAACAGTCTCAACAGTCGCGGGTTTGAATATATTGGTAGATCCTGCGAAGGGGTTTGATTTTCCGTTTAGGTTGGTGTTCTGGGATTCGTTCGACTTCTGAGATCCAAAGGGGGCTAGGGGAGCCCTCTTGATGGGCGAAGTACTTCCACTCTGCGCTCTGTTGAGAATACTTTCAAACTTGGATTTGGCGGCAGTTGGGGTGGCCTTTTGTACTTTATTGGGTTGATTCTCATCTGGTTCATCAGTTTCGTCAGCCTTACGCTTACTCTTCTTGAAGGGAGCGGGTCCCGTGAGAGCGGCTTCGGTCTGTTCTTGAGTAACATTGCGACGCTTATTCTGATTGGCAGTCGACGCCATTAGTGCGTTATCCTTTGGTGCCAAGTCCTCCTCAGCTTTGCGCTTCGTCGACACGGCCCCCAAAGTCCCAGGACGACGACTACTCTGGACTGGAGTTGCCGGTGCCGCTTTCTCCGCTTGCGGCTCCGGCTCCGGTAAGTTGTGGGCTGCTCTCCATCTCTTGAGCACCTCTTCCGATGGCTTCACGTTCTTGAACTCATACAGCCCGTATCGTAGCATGATTAATCCCCTGCTCTTCTCATATTCCTTCGCGAAGTTCATTATGTTCAGCTTCCAATCCTTCTTCGCGAAGATCTCATCAGCAGCGTATTTTAATCTTCGCAAATCAAGGACGCAGAAAAACCGTCGTCGCTGAAGGTCATCGAAATTCGGAGGACATTTATGGGCTAGGAACTGATCCGCGTAGATAGTACCTGTACGATTAGGATCGTCGGGAACCTCTTTTGATAAAGCCGCGCCGGAGAGCTCCGGATCGGGAGATGGTATCCTCATCTTGAAAGGCTCAGCTGAGGCTATACCATACATGCCACCTTGTGTAGTTTTCTGGGGAAACTTGCGGCCGCCTGGGGTTGTCTTTGTTACGTCCGCCGGTAAGCTAGGCGCAAATTTCATAGTACGGGATGTTTGTGGAGTAGAAGTACGGAATAAATCGCGACCGTATGAGTTATTCGTCGCTACTTTGCCCGTGAGATGCGAAGTGCGCGCTGGAGATGGTTTATTCATGGGAACGAGTGACGATCGGAATCTGCTTGCTGAAACAGACCTGAAAGGTGTCGAGCCCTGTTGACCCGGCGCGGGGCGAGGTTTGAGAGGTGTGCTTGAATTCATTGTGTGTATAGATGGTTATCAAAGGATATATACTTCCTAGATAACGCGTGATGGTTGAGGTTGTTAGAAAAGGAAAGAGGACGTGTGCGATGGATGATAGACGCGTCGGGGAGGAGGGGGAAAGGATGAGAAATCGATGTTGGGATTGCCTAGGCGACCGGCTGCGACTAAGCCGGAGACGGGTTGACGAATAATGAGGTGGAATGAAGACTAAGGTAAATGTAGAAAAGCCTCAAAGGCAAGTCTCAAGGGATTCCAAAATATGTTGGCATGCGATAATTGAAATAAATTCGAAAGGGTAAGTGAATTTTATTTGATGGATGGCCGGTGATCCTCAACACCTTGACGACAACAAGGCCAGGAAAGATTTTGCTTCTGGAGAAGAAAGTGACTGGAAGTGATGTTATTATTTGGGGTTCTAGTTCCGTGGCTGCCAGGGAAAAAATAAGGATAAAATTGGTACGTACCTAAGCTGTGACTGTACGTGACAGTCAATTAGGTGTCAATATCCACCTACAGAAGCTTGTATTTTTAAGTAATGGCCTCATTTTATTGGACAAAAACTTAGACGCGCTTTGCAAATATTAGGTCCAAGTACCAATACATTAGATACATTTAAGCAGGCAGCTTCCCATTTTAATAGCTTCTATGCACGGACCATCTTTTTCGGACCCGCTATCTTTATGTAAGGTAGGTATTTTAGTACATAACACAACCCATTCATCTAGCGCGCGCATTTAGCTTTGCACCCATACAGTACAAAAGACATACACGTTACATGTACCTTAGGTACCTCCTGGCTTTTAATTCGCCGTTTCTTATTGATACCTCTATGTCAGAAAGTACCAGAAAGACATGATGGATTAACCCATAGGATAGAGATAATATGATTAATCTAACGAATATCTAGAATTCCGCAATATAATTGATTGACTGTTCTGATTGGAATGCTCTTGTGAATAGTAACCCACCATGTCTTTCTGGCACTTGAGGACATGATGAAGAGAATTATATGACTAGTAAGGAAACGTCCCTTATTCTATGGACAAGTAATTTGGACGAAATAGGGAAATTTGTTGCTAGATTTGGTATGTACTGGTCAGCTTATATCTAATAATTAGTCTAAACGCGACATTACATGTCCATATGTTTACTATTAGGGCATCAAAAATCGACATTGCAATATACAGTAGAGTTTCTAGTTTCGCATCACATGCTGGATTCGTATATACACACTTAAGGTAAACTTGTAGTTTTTCAAGAGATTACCCAAGGCACTTTAAATTTATGAGGGTTTTAAATACTCTAAAGCTGCTTACTATCTTATACAGCTCTTGATTCACGGAATTTCCACTTCAAAAATCATTATGACAACGAACTAAGTTAATTGGCTAAATTCAATGACATAACACCTTAGTGTCGAGTATAGGTATAATTAAAACAAAAAAATAAATGGGACGTGATTTGCTTATATCGTCGAAAGCTTAATATTATACAGGGCTACATATTAGCAACAATCCAACATCTCATAGCTTCGCCTTTGTCTGTGCTTTAGCTAGGATAGGTTGTAGCTTAGTCGCTTTCATCACGTCGCCCTTAATCTTTAACTTTCCGGACATGAAAAGTCGTTGCGCATTAGCCTGACCAGTTACGAGCTTGCCAAAGTCTTCGTCCGAAAGCGATAGAGTAACTATGTATCGTGGTGGATTAGTATCTAGTTCCGCGCGAGTAGATTCTATAAGTGAATTATAGCGGAGTAATACCTGTTGGCTTCTCGCCTAGACCCGTAGCGACGGTACCTTTCTCTTTGAGGTCGATATGCCAACTCTCGGTCTCGCCGGCTTTATTCTTTATGTTAAAGGCGAAGATGGCGTTGCCTTGCTTGATAGCGTCTTTTCGGTCGGCTTCGCTTTGTAAAGCCTCGTTGATAGCTTCAAAGGCTCCCGAGGAAGGAAACTTGTCTGCGGGAAGAGGATTAGTCTTTTATAAAAATAGTTGGAGGAAGCGCGCGACGGCTAGTGTTATATCGGCATACCATTCTTTAGACTCATTTTTGCGATATTAGTTAAATTGATAATTGATGCGATTGGGAGATATAGGTTGTAAAAGATGCTTGGTAGGTGAGCACGCGAGATAGAAGATATAGAGAAAGTTAAGTAATTCGGAAATTGAGGAAGCTTCAGCAAAGTTACATAATGTAAAGTTGATGACGCCGTTGCTTTGGGTGTTGCACGTGTCAATTGAACCTCGGTCGTTTCTTTAATTATTCATGTGCTGCCAGGGAGAGTGATTCATTTAGGTAAGCAAGATCAACCAACAATTCACTTTCAATCTATCAGCCACAAATACGTCATGTAATTACATTGGAATGTAAGTTCCCGTCTTCTGAAACCACCAGCCTCATCTCCCTAGCCACTTCGTTCATCAGCGAGTAAAAGTTCTTTAAAGTTTATGTACATTTTACATCTTACACCTTACATCTTATATCTTACATGTAAGTCAATTTACATGCAAGTCAATTCTTCGTGTGGTAGCTCGATACGATTAGGTATCTACTCACTTAAGTAAAATCCCAACATTCTGGCTCAGGGCCGACCTAGATTCACATGTTGCATGAGGGTACGGTTCCGCGGGCTTACGGGCTTGCCATATCGAGACCTGATAGACATGATTCTGTCAGCCGTCTGCACTTAAAGGGTATTGTCAATCCAATAAAAAGCCTTGTTATATACCAAGCGATGCTCCCGTGGGGAATCCCTGACATGTCGAAAATTCCCCATCATCTGATCTCTTCTTATCCTCGTTCTATCTTGTGAATTACTCATTTCCGGCGTTACCCGTCGTCTCACTGCTTTGGTATTCATACATACACAGGCACCAATGCACCGATATTAATCGAGTAACCCATCGAAAATTGCCAAGAAATTGTGTGTGTGCTGTCATCAAGGTTCAGACACTAAAGGCGGGAATTCCCTACCCGAGATCTCTTGTCTTCGTATCTTCCTATGAGAATCTCAAGTCGTACAAAGGTATCCGTTGCTTATAACGAACTCGGGAACAAGGGATTTATGGGATTTGAACCTTTTGTTCTGGCGTGTTACAGTGGCATAGCATGACGTATAAGCAAAGACAAGTATCACAGATATTCCGTCAGCATGACTGCTTAGCGAAGCTTTTAGCATCGAGAAATCGTACCGTTCCTGGTCGCCGAACTACCGACGGCTGGTCTCCTCGCCGACTAGCTATCAATATTACTTTTACCCCTACCACAGGCTGGTTAGATTCATATTTTGGGTTTCTCTTTTTAAAAATTTGGCGTTTTATTAGCATGTGTCTCGACGTCTCGAATGTTTGGGTGACAGTTGGTCGGGGTCTCATCCGGTCACTCGGGATTTGACTGGTAGCAACCCTGGTAGTAAATACGTCTTCTAATTGGTTGGTAGGGAATTGCGGAGATCCTGATACTTCTTAATTGTACGATATCGCTGGAACCAAGTTCGAGAGCCAACGTACATCCCTTGTATCAAGCATCCGGGGACCATCCTATCGACAAAGTTACCCAGGTTGGCTAAACCATACATTTGAATCGTTACAATGCGTCGTATGATGGCAGATTCGAGAATTAGATAACCTGAGTAGACTATCCCTTCTGTTATCGGACCAGAGTGGATAATATACCCCCTTCTACCTCCGCATCTGCGCCGCTGGGCTGCCTTTCCCAGCCTCGCCACCGTAAAGAAGTCCAAAACCCGTTTTGAATATGCAAGGCTCGGAACCCGTGGACAAGGTCTCAAGCTAAATACTTAGGCGTACAAAATTCCGACTTAGAACGCCGTAGGATGGAGACTGTTAGACGAGCGCAGGGGTGCTGGACCTGCAAACGTAAGTCTTCGAGTATAACATCAGCATTCGCGACACTTACTAACCATTTCGGAAGGACGTAAGATCGGATGTGACCGCGGCTATCCAGCCTGTAACAACTGCCTTCGCACCGGGAGAGAATGTTTAGGCTACGGGATCCGTCTCGCGTGGCCAGATCAGCCCGACGGTAGACGTAGATTAACTCGCCTTCCGGACCACACGATCCACCATCACGAAATTGATCCCAAGTATTATGGAAAACAGTTTCTGAATGTGACTTACTCCGACTTAGCTCTTTCTAGGAAAGGTATATCGCCTATTTGCCTATCGATCATTCGTGCTCAGCCGCGGCCGGGACGATGTCTCCCTTTATTCACAAATCTTCATGAGAGGGAGTCTCATCTTATTAACTACTGTAAGAGCGGGCCCATGACATATCAGATGAGTTCCACCTCGAAAGATTACTGACGCTTACTATATCAGATCAGAATAAGTTGTCTCAGATGATATCCACAATTGACATCAACAATGGGTTCCGCGACGATTTGCTGCCTATGGCACTCTCAAACATTGGCAATGCTTCCAACGGTCTTCGAAATGCCATGCTTGCTGTAGCCGCTTTTCACCTCTGGGGTTCGGAAGAAGCTCTTTCCTATAAAGCCGATGCCCTTCGATCCCTATCTTCTTCTCTATCGAGCGAGTCTATTGGTATAACCGAGACGCAGCTAGCTACGTCAATGATGCTCTGTGTTTACAATGTAGGGACCTGTCTGGTTATTCTCCATGTATGATTATGCTAATCAGAGATAAGGTCTTCGACGAGACCGAAGGTAATTGGAACCTACACCTTCGCGGAGCCCAAACTATTCTTCAGAAGCTCGCCAGTATCCACGGTGGGCAGTTAAAGTACGGCTTCTTATACACGTGGTTCCTTTACCATGAAATTTTGGGTGGTTTCAGTCAACCACTTCAGTATGGGAGATGTCCGGCATCTCTGCAACTTCTATATGACACGGACTTTGATAAATCTTTGGTATTATCCCCCGCAGACTTACTAACCGAAGATAATTGCGACTAACAGCCCATAGATCATAGGATCGCTCGGATGTTCCGTAGAGGTTATGGAGATCATTAGCTACGTAAACGGACTGCGTGCTCTCGAGCTTCGGGGCGCGTCCCTAGACTTTAGCCCGGAAGAACGTGCTCGGAGGGCCGACGAATGGCATGAAATCGAGAGCCGAATAACGAACCTTGAACAGCATCTAGATCCCCTTGATGCGAACCATATACCACCGATAGAGAGGACTCGAATTCTAACGACCGCCGAGCTTTATCGTATTGCGGCCTTGCTCTACTTACAAAGAACAGCCGAATGTACACATACCCAAGATCTTAGGTCAGTGTACTTGGAATACGCGTTCGCTGCATTAAAGCGCCTCGATGTCTGCACGAGTCCATGGCCGCTTTTTGTTATCGCTTGCGAAACTGAAGATGATCAACAGAGAATAAGGATCCTTCAGACACTCGATAAAATGGACAACGAACGGCACATTGGAAATGTGTTCGTTCTACGTGATATAATCGAGTCATACTGGAAACAGCAAGATCTCCAGGCCGACAGCGGCCGAATCTCTAATACTAAATGGTGGAACGTTGTCAACTTAGATATCGCTGCACCTTGGTGTATTTGAAACCGACATCATCATCAGTCGAACTCCTCCCTATCGCCGTCACGTCATCATCGTCATCATAATCATCACCATCACTACCACTATACCCCCCTATAATTGATTTCTCACAAACCATCTTAGCGACCTATTTGAGGCCGCCCCTACTTAGACATCTTCGTCACGTGTAAGTCTTGAGTGGGATTTACCAGCAAGCTTAGCAGGTCCGGCCTAGCGTAATGACCGACGACATCGATGAATGCTTTGGGATAATCGATATCCCGCAAATTAATATCTGCCTTGAGGATAGCCTCTTCTCCAGCGCCAATAGGTTCGCAGAGCGGCTTGCCGTCGGGCCCGAAAATCATGGAAAAACCACCGCCAGGCTGTAAGGGAGTTATGTTAGTAGTTTATGGAGCAGCGGAGAGTGAGGGTCTTACCGTCTTGGTTACTGGGTTACCGGAAAGGTTGTTTTTTTCCAGGTTCTTCTCGGTTAGGATTTGTGACGCGACGAGGACGAAGCACTGCCCCTCTATAGCCATGAACTGGCTCGCTCGGTAGCTTGCCTCTCCCGTCTCATGATATAGCCAAGCAATTTTGGAGGGATCTGGCATTTCAAATTCTGCAGGCCAACTTGATATTCAAATCAGCAGGGGTTTTTTTTTGGGATTTTTTTTTTTTTTAGGGATGAAAGCTAAAAGGATGTTTAAGACTAACCTTGCAACATGTATTTGAACCCCTTGCGAGTATTCGTAGTAACGAAGCAAAGGTTGTAAGTGCTCCCAGCAATTCAAGCCACCAATATTACCAAATTTTGATGGCACCACACACTTAAGCGATTCGGCTTGGCCTTCACCCCAGATAGTTCGCTCTATGTGTGTGGGCTTTATTTTCCGTCGGTGGTGGACTATCTCACCTTCCGGCGAAATAAACGATTGGGCCATGTAGAGACTACCACCCTCCCTCTCGCTATATCCGAGAACCACAAACATCCCCGCCTTTTTTATAGCGGCAAGGATACGTCTCATGTGGTCTGAGTCTCGGGGCATCGAGTTCGCCATGTATTCGTGGATGATATGGGTGTTCTCGATGACACTAGAAGTCCACATGGACCTAGGTTGAGGCAAACAAGTCGACGTTAGTGTTCCAATCCCTCGGAAATTCATGACGGAACTTACCACGGGTATCCAGGAATCCACACCTCGGGAAACCCGAGCACCTGGACGCCATCTTTAGCAGCTTCCTCGATAAGGGAGATGGTCTTGTCGACGGCACCATTAAGGTCAAGCCATACCGGCTCAGCCTGAACGGCACCGACGCGAACAGTAGTGGACATTATATCGAACTGAAGAGTATAGCCTTAGGCTGAAGTTTTGGAGACGATGTGAAGAGGAGCCCAGCGTTCCAAGCAAGCTATTGACGATCATATGCTTGGACTTTATATACCGTCGTCTATCTCGTCTGCAGAAACGTCTCACTGCAGTGCGGGGAGATACGGTGTCTGCAGTCAGCAATCAAACCCCAGACACAGCTCAGTTCATGCTAGAATCCCGAATCCCTACGGCTCTACTACTACCTCATGGTCCTATTCTGGACCCCTACGGCCGCGTCACGTAACAAGCCGGGTCCGATCATTGGCCATATTGGAGCTTTCAGCGTTTGGTGGCTTGGCGGGACCTCCTGACACTCGTTGCATCTTATGCCGCAGGTCCACGACCTCACTACATTACCTTGCACCGCATCTCCAGCTTGCAGCCGGTGCGTAACCCCTCAGTGTCGTAGCATTAGTATGTACTCCGTCATACTACTTTATTATAAAGGTCTGCCACACAGCGCAGTCGTAGTAGCAAAGCTTATTCAAATTACCTCTGTTAAGTCGGCCCTTATAAGAAGTCCTATTTACAAACTCGACTGGATCCTTCGTCGATAGGTACACGGCCGTGAGATATTCATCCTTTCTTTGTATCAGCGATCGCAGAGTCCTTCCAAGCTTTCTTCTATGATCAACTAGCGGCTCTTCAAACCCAGCTTCCGCGTGGGTCCCTCGTCCAGAACCGGGAAAGCCTCGATGCCAATGCGGCACGAAAACGGGAACAGGCGCTCGAGCCTCGACCAACGTTTGGCTCAACTGAGTTTAGTCTACGGACAGGACGATTTTTTCATTCTCTTAGCAACGTCCTACTACCTCTCTCACTGGTAATATCCCGCGATCATGGGATGTTTAATAATCATATGAAACTTGATAATAATAATACTTTTGATATTTAAAAAAAAAAAATTTTCAAATAACGTATTTTCTTCAGCACTCTCACGTAATAAGCACTAAGACCTGTCATTATCTCACATTTGGGGCTCCCGATTCCTCTGACGGCATACCCATGGTTCTGGAATACACGTGTGCAACCCAAGGCACACGCGGTGGTAATATGGAATATGTAGCTCGAATTATCCGGACCAGAAATGCTGCCCGCGGTCCCTATGTAATCTATCGCTGTCATCAATCTGCAAACCGGGCCACCACAACTGTTCCCGCCTGCTTCCAACCGGGCGATAGATAGATACCTGACAACGTGCCCATGATCGGGATTTAACAAGGTTCTGACAGGACCCTGGGCTTGGCTGGGCCGGGTTTTGGGTCTCGGACGGCGCAGCTGTAGGTTCATAATACATAGATAGTATATAGTTAGGTACGTAGGAATAACTTACCCTCTAAGCGGCGTGCGAACGGCGGTAAGCTCGGGGAGACGGGGAAAATATAAAACGGGGGATGGGAGCTGGGAGCTGGAAAGATTGGAGATTGGGAAACATTATAGATTTATATATATATATATGCCACATCAATATTTTCCCTTATACACACCCAGGCAGGCAGGCAGGCAGGCAGGCCTACATGACGAATAAGCCTCGTCCTACCGTCGACGGATGCAGTGTTACGTCCTTTGCGTTTTTCTGCAGCGGAGACGAAAAAGAAGGAGCGGTGAATATCGAGTCATATCTGAGAGAGAGGACGGCAACGGTTTCCTGTGAAACCCCCTCTTCTCCCCGGGCCAGGCCAATGATAAAGATGGCTGGGGGGGGATGAGACGTATGATTGGTGGTGCTGATGTTTCTGCAGGACAGGCAGGCTGCCGGTTTGGGGACCTGGGAGATATGTAGGTTAGGTACCTGGGTAAGTACCTACATAGTTATTACGTGAGCTTGTTGGAGCAGGTTCCAGCGGCTTGGAGATAACAAACATACTCGTGAGCTAGGTAGCTACCCGGTAAAGGTGGCTTGCTGGGATTCCCAAAGCTACCTAAGCTAGGTAGCTAGCATTGAAGCCATTGCTACTACAGATTACTACTACAGGTAATTAACTACGTACCTCAGACGGACGTATCCGTGTCGGTTGGTTGGTTGGTTGGCTGTTAGCTTCGGTGTAAGTGTGTAAGTGTGTAAGTGTAGGTAAGTGTAAGTGTATTATACACATTAGCCATGTGTATGTAATCTGAGACAACGTCGATGATCTAAATAATAAGAACTATATTTAAAGGACGTACCTATCTGCTTATCCCTCGCCCCTTAAGTCCGTCCCGACTCCCCCAAATGTCTCATATATATATGTATGTATTCATTCCCTTGACTCGTCGCAGAGAACCGGAACGTCGCACAACAACGATTTTGGTACTTCCAACTCAACTCGACTCCCTAACCTAACCTAACCTAACCTAACCTATGTCTATCCAAAACGAGCCCCTGCCTCCCGGGGAGGGCCGTCTGCAGCCGCGGTTGTCGAGGCTGACGATGGTCGCTCTGACGTTTGCTATCCTCAAGTAAGTCGGTCCCAATCAATAACCCGGTGTTCTAGAATAGCCGACTGGCGGCTAACTATAGCGCTCGTTGTATGTATAACAGTACATGGATCGCGCTAGCTGGATCAATTGGCCTCGTTCTGCCCTCGGGGGGCTCCGTCTCGTTCCTGTACGGCTTTATATTCTGCGTCCTGTGTAACCTCGCCCTCGCCGCGAGCCTCGGCGAACTAGCTGCGATATGGCCCACGGCAGGCGGCCAGTACCATTTCGTGTATGCGCTGTGCACGGATAAGTGGAAGAAGTCTATGGTGGGTTATTTTTGAACTCTAGAGACTCGGTGGGGAAAATGGAATAAATAAGGAAGGGGAAGGGCTGACTTGTGCGCATAAACTAGAGCTTCTGGGTTGGTTGGACGAATATCGCGGGCTGGCTTACGCTTGTGACGACTGAGGGTTTCTTCGCTGGTAAGATTCTCTTTATTATTCCTTTCTATCTGGTGCTATAGTATACGTATATGTATACGTATATGTATACATATACTAGAGGGCAAAACAAGAAGTTGACATGATATTACTTTACCATACACAGCGCAATTCATATCCGCCGCCACAGTCATCGCCTCCAACGGCGCCTACGCGATCGAAGAATGGCGCACATACCTAATCTTCCTCGCCATCCTCACCTTCACGACCGGCGCCAACATCTGGGGCAACCGCATCCTCGGGCGCTGGAACGACGCGGCGCTGTACTGGTCCTTGCTGGGCGTAGTCGTCATCAGCATAGTGCTGCTAACCACGTCGGACAAGAACGGCGCCGAGTTCGTCTTCGCCGAGTTCCAGAACTCGACCGGCTGGTCCGACGGCATGGCCTGGATCCTCGGCCTGCTGCAGAGCGCGCTGTCGCTCATCGGCTTCGACGCCGCGCTGCATATGACTGAGGAGATGCCGCGGCCGGCGGTCGATGCGCCGCGCGCTATTATATATGCGGTGGTTGTGGGGGGCGTCACGGGCGTTGCGTTTATACTTGTTATTCTGTTCTGTATTACGGATCCCGATACCGTTCTTAACACGCCGACTAAAATGCCTATCGCTGAGTTGATCCTCCAGGGCACGGGAAATCGAGCCGCGGCTACGGTGTTGACGCTGATGCTGGCTGTGTGCTTTATTAATGGGACGAATGGATGCGTGACTAGTTCGAGTAGGCTGTTGTATGCGATGGCGAGGGATAAGGGCATTGCGTATCATCACTAGTAAGATCACCCCTTTTCCTCCCCATTTCTCTTTCTCTTTCTTGTCCCTCTCTCGACTAACTCTCCTAGCTTCGCTCACATAACGCCCAAGCTCAACGTCCCAGTCCGCACCATCGTCTTGACCTTTGTATTCAACGTACTCTTCGGGCTATTATACCTAGGACCATCGGTAGCTTTCAGCGCATACGCGGCCAGCACGACCATCTTCCTCAACATGTCGTACGTGATCCCCGTCATCGTGCTATTAATCCGCGGCCGTGGTGTTTTACGCCAGTACCAGGCTGAGAACACGTACTTTGCGCTCGGGAAGGGCGGCTGGGTGCTTAATTCCGTTGCTGCTGTGTTTGTTATCGTGACTTCTGTGGTACGTATACTTAATTTGCTTCTATCACTCGTTAACTATAGGGGTCTGATATAAAAGAAATAAGGAATTGCTGACTGGTGTTATTAGTTCTTCTGCTTCCCGACTGGACTTCCCGTTTCAGCAGATGAGATGAGTAGGCAGTCCCTTTATTCCTATTCATAAAATCTAGGGACCATAAGAACTAGATCTTACTAACGGCAAACAAACAGACTACGTAGTCGTCGTTATCGGCATCTTCCTGGCATTAGTCGGCACGTTCTGGGCCACATATGGCAGAACCTTCGAGGGCCCGGTAATTTTCTCTTTCCTTTCTCCCTTTGCTTATTTCCTCATATCCTCCCTGGAGGAGGGGTCGCATGAACTAACACTGACTTACTTCTATAGACATTCGAAGCCATCATCGGACATGCGCCCGGAGACGAGGAAGATGCAGGAGCAGCAGCTTCCATCCCTCCCTCAGAGAAAGAAAAATAAGCGTCTAATTCTTAGGATGAAAAACAGGTTACCTCCTAAAATGGAGGCATGCATTATTAAGATACCCCCGTATTGATTTCTTCCGAGTTACTAGGCCAAGATATAAAAGCATTTAGATGCATCCTATCATTCATCCCGGCAACTATAGTACATATTCGAGGCGTTCACAGTTTGGTTATAAAATTTACCAACTAGATGGAGTTTTGAAACTTAGACAAGATCATGAAAGACATTTATTTTGACACATTATAGATTTAAGGGGAATGGGGGCTCGAAACGACATCCTTCCTTAACCTTTTTTATAGGCATATATTCCATTCTTCGCGTCCATAATATTTTAGGTAGTTGAACTATACCAAGTAACTGAATAAACTTACTTTACTCGCTTCCCAACATAAATAGACCTTGCTCAATCTCATCACATTACAGCCAAAACCCAAGTAACAATCATAACTTAAACAATATATTCATTCGTGATGGGGTATTTACATGATATAGCATATCTACTCTTAACAAAGCTCTCAACATGCCTTAATCCGTCTAGGACTAGGTGTAAGTTCATAACCGATCCGCAACCTTATACATGCAATGAATTTTCTCTCGTAGGTCGAGACGAAGCTCTCCGTAAATGTCAGACCTGTGACTGGCCAGGCCGGGTATGTGAAAACGCCGGGTAATGCGATGATGATTATTGAATCCTTTGCGGTGTCCATCCTACATTGTTCTTGTCCTGCCCGAGTCGTGTTTGAACGTACTCGCCATTCTAAAAAATGAATCTTGGAAGAAAAAAATTGGTTGAGGATGATGGTATCCTCGATTGGTCACCAAAGGACCTGCTCTAACTTGACGTAGAGCGTTAACGCCGCCGAGAACGTTCGTATCGCTTACATCCAATGAAGGGACGACGGCATATGGAGACCCTAGTTTATTGGCAGGCGGAATTTGACAACCTTAGGAAAGACTGAGTTCCAAAAAGTAATCGACGGGTCAAAAGACTAGCTTGTCTAAAGCTAAATAAAATTTTGTTAAACCTTGACGCAGCGGAAAAGAGAAAGGGTGACCCCAAATTTCTTTCATGCCAAGCGCTAGTTGAGTTAAGAATAAGGGAGGTTCGATTCGCTCTTGTACCCTGGTTCCGTGGGCTCGACATCTTTTATGGGGTGAAGCAACATCGGTGGTAAGCAGGGACGCCCATAGAGTTCTTCCCACTCTTTGCCACCTACGTTGGTATCTTCCCAACCCATAAAATTTAGGTATAGTCGCTGGGGTGGGTTTGCCCTATAGTACCAGGTGCTCCCGCGATATCTAGCTTCTCGTCCCCAGCCCATAGCGGAGCCAACACCTCCACTTTCACCCTTCGGACCGCCATTAAACCACTTAGCGAGGTCCTCGCCTTTCCAAGGTCTATCGAAGAACACGGGCATCGGGACGTAAACTGCCTTGAGGCCGTGGAGGAGCGCGGTAGTTTGCGTGACCATTTCTGACGAGATATGATTTCCACGAAGGTTCTCGACGTGCATGATGTCAAGAAGCCTTTTGGACACTCTCGAATGCGTTACGATGGTAGCCCTCCTCGGTAGATCTGTAGTTGCGTGTGTGGAATCATTAAATCCCCAAAGCTCATTACCACTGATCCAAGAACTATTAATGGGGTTGAAAATCGGGGCAACGGTAATCAGATCCGCCTCTTCACCAACGCCCCATACGTAGTTGTCATCTTCTGGCTTTGCGACAGGTGGCTTCGGCCCAATAGGGTTAACAAAAGGCAGTTTTGGAGGACCCCAAACTGTGTCCTTTCCCGATATACGCTCGACTTCCTTTCGGAACTTCGAATCGTAATCACCGTGGACGGATGGGATATAGTAGCGTTCATTGCGTTCCCATAGTCCTCGGCGTGGCTGACGCTTGGCAAACGCGGCTAACTTCTCGACGAAATCGTAATTATGGCCGGTGACTCTTGCATCTATCTCCCAGTTCCAGATATAGTCAAATTCGGGGAACTCTTGGGCGAACTTCTGAACTGACAGCCACTGCGAGACGTGTACAGTCGCCTTCTTAGGGTCGATCTTAGGGTACATAGTCTGCGTGGCCTCATCATTCCAAAGGATAGCAATGTCCCTAAACTCAGGAGGCACATTCCTCTGTAGAACGTATTGGTAAGTTTCTTCATCCTCCCAAATTGCGTAGGAAGTGTCTTTGACATGGACGAAGAGGAACACTTGATATAGACCTCCGGTGCGCAACGAAAGCTCAGCGATTAAAGATCGAATCACCTGCTTATCATTCTCGGTATATTCCTTGCCGGTATATGTCCGCAGTAAAAGTGCCGTTCGCTCTTCGCGGGCAGTAGTAATTTTAGACGTGCCGGATTTGCGTTTTTCGAGAAGACCCCTCCTTCGTCGTATTGGTGCGCCCTTTTTCAAGTCCTCCTTAGAGTGGGGGGACTCCAAGGTACCAGAATCGTTCTCGTTATCACCATCTGCGTTCGTGACGCTCGAATTTTGACGTGCGTACACTGTGGTGAGGTATGGATTGGACTGCCCCTTCATGTCGTAGCGTGCCTTATTCTTCAGGGCACACTTCTCTTGCAGCTGTCCCCAGCGAACACCGTCCCAATCGACCGAGGAAACCGAGTGGTCATTGTCCGATTTATAGCCGTAAATACCTAACCGTGTCTCGCGCTCGTAACATAAATTCCCATCCATACCAAGGGCACTGTAGCTTCCGAAACCGGGCTCGGGGAACGTTTTGGGCTGACCTTTAAAAACAAACACATCCCCTACAGGTGCACCACCTGGCCCTTCGCAAGGTATAAGTTCAGCTCTTTCAGCGAGCCATGTCTTTTCGTTGTACTTAGGATATGGATTGTAAACGTAAGGATTATGCTCGGTAAATCTCGGTTTGCCCTGGGTCTGTGCTAAGTGATCCTCGATAGTTAGAGATCGCTTCTTGTCAGTATCCAAAGTATTGAGCGTCTGCCCAAATAAGGTATCGGCACCAGGCTCTCTGTACTATCGTTAGAACATGCGACAGTGTGATAAACAGCCAAACATACTTAGCAAGTGCCTCATATTCTCGATCAAACTGCTCCCGCAAGTCTTCCTCTCTTTGCTCCTCTTCCTTGTGCTTCTCTTCCTCTTGCTCTTCCTCTTTCTTTTGCTCATGTACTTCGGCTTGAGGATGTTGATTTTGCTCGTTGTTACTAGGACCGGTCGCTGGTAAGGGAACCGGGGCTGGGTTGGTCTCAGTGTTGCCTTTTAGAGGAGCTTGTACTGGTCCAGAACTCCCATCAAACCATCTCGCCGTATGAGGAGTGGTAGAGCCATGCAGCAAGGTCCAGTACAGAGTCGCCGCAAAGACTGCGACGAGTAGGAGACCTTTCGGTCGCAACAACAATCGACGGGGTTGTACCGCCAACATGTTTTCGAGTTAATTGGAAGGATAGACGCGGCTTATGGACCGGGGAGCGATAAGTCGGTATCGCAAAATTTATGCAAGATCGAGAGATAGGAACATGGCGAGATCGTTAAAATTATCTCTTCAGACCGAATATCGGTGTTTAGCTAGAATCGAGGTGGAAAGTCAATTGCGATAGTTGCTTGGTTGACTTGAAGCTTGTATAACGGATTAGATTCCTAGCCTAGGAATTTGATTTACGGCTCGCGGCAGATCGGATTTTAATGCTGTACCAAATAGTTATCCGAACGTACTGTCTCGTCTACCGTAGTAAGCTCGAAAATGCGACTATGAAGAAAGAAGAAGAATAACAATAAATGAGCGTAGGAGGTTAACGTGATAGTAGATAACCGGTCGGATAAAGAAGATTACGACAGCACTCAGAAAAGTCTGAGGCGAAGTATAAAAAGTGGTGACAAGGTATTGTATAAAAAGATTAAAAAAAAATGAAGGGTGAATCCCGTAGGAGAAAACAGGTCCGAGGGATGTGCGAATAGAAGGGGAAAAAGAGACTGGGGAGCGCAAATCTCGCGATGTCTTGGCCGTGGTGATCAACACCAAAGCAGATCAAGTGGGATGCTTGAAATTGAGACCCCCTTCACTCTCTCCCCTTTTTAGGAAAAAAGTTGAAGGTTCAAAAGATGAAAAGATGCGCTACAGGGTCACGATTACCGACACTTAATTGTAGTAGCGCTATAGGGGACTTAGATGTGTTAGTTACTAGGGTGGGTAGGTATTGCATACATCAATGTTATATTTCGACAAGGTGTTCTTACTATTCTTAATGTATTCTTTTGCGTTAAGGTGGCTTGTAAGATACATGAGAAGTGTGGGGGGACTAATGACTAATTTCAGTCTAAGAGGTTTCTAATACAGGGTCGAGTTAAAGTGAAAGTACATAGATTCACCGGTCGTGCATCCCTCTTGCAATATCGTCAATTTAGTGTGATGGCCCCCATACTTCTCTCCATGTAAGACGCTTTGTTCATATTCTGCTCATATTCTACCCATATTCTTTAGTAAGTGTGAGAATATATTATGGACAAAGTAGGATAAGACAAGTTTGACATGGCTAATTGTTTAAATCTGCTGTGCAACTCAGGTACAAGAGGGGTTTAGGATAGGTATGTTTAGTTAAGGTACCTAATGTAGGTACCTATTATTATGAGGTATGTATAATGTAGCTTAGGTACTATGTACCTCCTAACCTAAATGCTGCGTGGTCGATTTAGCGTGGACGGGTGGCTGCTGCAAGTCGTAGTGAACTCAATATTACACATCATCCATTACGCATGCAACACCTTCTTCGAAATTATTAAACATTTACATATCAATTAATATCTCTCTTCTACTACACGTTTTTGTTTATATTCACTTTCTTGAAGAGTATATGTATTCTTTATCTCATCATGTAACTTGATTCTTTTCAATAATTTACCCTAGAAATTTTTTTAAGGGGAAGAAAGCTTCATGCTCTCCCTTCCTGCATATGCCGTAGTTAAATTGACACGATAAGGTGTTAAGGGTTAAATTCGTAGGCGTAATTTGGGAAATGCCGATTGGAGGGTCTGCATTGTACCTTGTTTAATAAGATAAGAAAATTTAGACTAACTTTTTTGCCTTTCCTATATTCTTGCCCTGCGGAAATGATACTCCACTTCTTCATTGCACTAACAATTACTACAATAGTATATCATCCCTTCTTATTACATAGACTATTAGTATAGGAGGTATACTCTATCAACTTAAGGGTCACAAATATAGCCCAATAGTCTTTTCAATCACCCTTCTCAACTACCTAAGTAGCTACCTACCTATTTAAATAAACCAAAGGATCATCGAGTCTGACATAATAAAGAATAAAAGTCCTATTATCAACTTTGAAACCTAAACTCGCAGCCTCCTACTCCCGCCGCAACCTAGTCGTTGGATCTAATATTCGGAGGCGCGTAAAATGCAAGCCATTGAATTCTATTTCTACCTAGGTAATTTATCTAAGCTACGCTAATACAACAAACTAAACACAAGCTATAGAAACAACGGACTAGTTAAAACATTGGCAGTTCTTCAACACTCTCACCGCATTATGTAGTTTTGGGGCTAACATGTAGAATAGATGCTACATAGTACTGTACCTCTAAAGTTGGTGACACGGTTCCTCACAGTCAGGTACAAAATATACTACATACATACGTACCTAATATAACGGACGGCTCGCAACCATTCATAGCTAGTCGTCACGCCATGGCGCAAGGGACGCACGAAGCCCACGCAGAGATCGTCATCGTGCAGCAACCTAAACGATCCAATCAAGGAGCCTCTACCAGCAGCTTTATCTCTTGCACAAGCTCATGTCACATTCGCTAAACTGTCCCCATTCGCCAAGTAGGCTTGCCTGTTTCGGAAGCACGCATTCTTCTTGGCCCCTCCTCAAATCTTGTACGTATCAGATTTCATCGGCCCGCGTCCGAACAAACGTGGCCCCCCGTACCTGCACTAAGAAGCAGATCAGATAGATGAAGATGGTTCGTTTATATCCAACAGGAGTTTTTACTCGGACGTTAAGGAAAGGAAACAAATAGATTATAACTAGGACTTATAAGTTTACAATAAGCGCTTATCCACCAACCAAAAAATTATGAGGTAGGTTAGGTAGGTAACCTACCCAGTCTCTCCATTACAGCCGCACATAAAAATATCCCCTCGAATATTTCCGTAGTGCCTATTATGATACCGCACATCTCGATGATCATAACGACCCGCGTACATACCTACGTACGTGAGCACCCGAGACCAACAGTTGGGATCTTCGTGATGACGTGACATTGGCGACCGTAGTATGGGTAGTATACAGAGATAACAAGACCGAACTAGAAGTCTGAGCTGTCAAACAATACGTATAGACGCACGCATGTTGACCACCACATAAGAGATAGTCGGCAGTAGAGCCAGCAGTAAGGTACAGGATAATAATGTATTACGATGCATACCCAGGTAACCTACACAACAGTCGGTACGATCGATCCCGCATACTTATTTAAGACACCTACCTACCTATTCACCAACACCTCATATCAATACCCTTCACCTTACTACCTAACCACTCACCACTCACTCCGTTTGTCTAGACTACCCTACCCCGGCCACCTCCCCCCATACGAAGAAATAAATAAATGACTCCAATAACGGCCGGTGACAGGCTCTACATATTAATTACCTACCTACCTTCCTTACCTTGTCCACCCAGTCCCAAGCCGACCAAACTAAACTAACTACCTAGACAGGTAGGTACCTAGGTAAACAACCGCAAATTTCCGTGCGACCCTGCGGCTGTACCCGGGGACAGACACCCATGATTCTGCCGTCGGATGCGGCCAGCCAGCCTATAGGCTGCCCTGGGTAAATCACATACATACACCTACACATACGTACTAGGACAGGGTACTACTACTACTACTGCTGCTGCTGCTGTTGTGATATATACCATTGTGTAATAGTGACGAGCTGGAGTTCGTTAACCATCCCCATTGGCACGACCGTTTCAACAAGTGCCACCAATTTCGGATTCAGGAGCACGAAGGAGGCAAGTAAGCGAGACAGGAAATAGATCGTATCTAGATAGCATCACCAAGATCGTATACCGTGCCAAATCCACCTGCTTCCATAGTCACACAGGCAAGAGACGTGGTTGTATGAATTTGTCGTTTGATATTACTATATCTGTCTACTCTTATCAGAGCAGACTAACTACCATAGCTGTGCACAAACGGTGTAGCCAAAGCAGTATACTACTGGTGATCTACAGCTTATCGCTCGTGCTAGATCGCCCATCACATCACTCCACAGTTATACCTCTTCCTCCCCTTACCCATTCTCCCCGTATCCCCACCAGCCGCGGTTAGCCAACGCTGGTTCCCACACCACATCGTCCAAGGCACCCCATCGTATCCATCCTACGGAGCCTTTCTTTAGCATCCTCCTCTAACCAATCCTATCCTATCCTCCCATCCCACTTCAACACATCTCCCATATACCCAAGGGGAGACGTGAGCGGCGATGTGCATCGGGCCCGCCAACCCCCAATGCAGGTAGCCATGGTCCGAAGGAAATAGATCTCCAAAGTACTAAATTAAGATGACAAAATGATATGGATGCACGTCATCTGATTATAAAGCCGTAACGGAAAAAAAAACAAAAGGCGGATTTCTCGTCAAGGGATCCATAAGGTAAGCAACTAGGAATTGCGAATGGAAGATCGAAAGGGTATATGCGACCTATAAAAAATTCGAATGCTTTCCCGGAAAGAGGAACCCCCCAAACGCCGATGCTGATATATGATGATAATAATCGCACAGCCAGCAATATGGCGAATCGGCGATGTGAAAGTCGGTCGAAACAAAAGAGAGGCGTGTCGTCGTTACAAAACAAGGGAAAATAATAGATAGGTATACGTATAAATTAGGAGCATAAATGCTTTTATATCATGCCCATTCTCGTCATTCTCTTCTCCATCCTCGGCATCGAGCTAGCTAGACCGCCACGGCCTAGAGCCTGACCAGGAGCTAGACGGTTTCCGCTGGGCAAGCCGAATGGCCTGTTGAGTCCCTTAGGACCCGGACCCATGGGACCTGGGCCCATAGGGCTCGGTCCCATGAACCCGGGGCCGGAGCGAGGTGGTCTCGGCGGTGGAGGTCCTTGCGCGCTTGGCCGGCGCGGAGGGTATCCCGGTCTCGGTGGTGCTTGCTGTTGTTGCCTTTGGCCCTGCATAGCCCACTGCATTCGTCTCCAGGCGTCGCGCTCGCAGTACGATTTACCGTCTACGTCGAAATAACCATCACGTAAGACGATACCGCAGTCACCGCATCGAAAACAATTCGGATGGTGCTTCTTAGAGGATTCATCCTCGAGGTATTGCCCCTCAATACCTATATTACAGCTTCCGCAGAGACTGCCGTTAAGTTTGT